AAAAAAGTGGAAATCCTTCAAAATTGCTAGAAAGATGCCTGAAAGACTCTAGAACCCATTTTCATTCCATTTGTAGAAAAAAAATATGCTTTCAAATGAAATTTCGGCGAAAATGTGGGGTAAAATCAGTCAAAAATGTTAATTACTTTCCCACAAAAATCGATGGTTGATGCCCACATCTTCAAAATATTGGTTGTTTGAGTACTGATTGGTGGTCCTCCGACTTCCAAAGGCATGTCTGCATTGTTTGGAGAAAAGTATTTTTTTTGCCAAATTTTGATCAAAATGTCAGGCTAACCACTTGCATTTTTTTCAATTTTGACCAAAAAATGGAAATCCTTCAAACTTGCAAGAAAGATGTCTCAGAAACCCTAGAACAGATTCCAAAATGCATTTGTAGAAAAATATGCTTTTCAAATGAACATTTTGACCAAAATATGGGTAAAGTCAGTCAAAAATGTAATTAATTTTCAACAAAAAATCGATGGTTGATGCCCAAATTTTCAAAATATTGGGTGTTTGAGTATTGATTGGTGCTCCATTATTTGGAGAAATCTCATTTTTTTGCCAAATTCTGATTAAAGTGTTAGTCTAAGCCCATGCATTTTTTTTTTAATTCTGGCAAAAATATGGAAATCCTTCAAACTTGCTAGCAAGATGCCTTATAGACCCAAGAACACATTCCAATTTCCTCTAATATTTTGCTGTGATATTTGACACAAAAATCTTGAAAATTGACAAGAACCGCCAAAGAATGAACGTAATATAATTTAAGGAACCTGGGCGCCGACTTCTGTCCTTTCGCAATGTAAACACAGGTTTTGTATGCACGAAAGCTCAAGATAATCACTGCATTGAAATGAAATGTCCTCTAATATTTTGCTCTGATATTTGACACAAGAATCTTGAAAATTGATAGGAACCGCCAAAGAATGAATGTAATATAATTTAAGGAAACCGGGCGCCGACTTCTGTCCTTTCGCAATGTAAACACAGTTATTGTATGCACGAAAACTCAAGATAAACACACTGCATTGAAGTGAAATTTCCTCAAATTTTTTGCTCTGATATTTGACGCAAGAATCTTGAAAATTGACAGAGAGGGCGCGCTGCACAAATACTGGTCACGGCCGCGGCGGGCCGACTTTTGTCCATGCGGTGCGACACAACACATGAATCACACAAACCACAATAAATATAAACCACAAGTATTATGTATTATGTAAAACTCGTGTTAAATCACATTATCTAACCGCAATAGCAACAACCAAGTACACCTAATATTAAGTAGGGATAAAAAAGTCCACACCACAATATTTCTCCCCTTTAAATCGAAGTCTGTGTAACGAAGCATAACAACTGTAACATAATGTAATTTAGTGAATTAAACTTATTATCAAACAAATACTAATATGTTATCACTGAGTTGTTAACCATAATCCACCTTTAATAAGGGAATAAATGTGTGCTCCGGAGGTTTTTATCACTCGTTGAATACCGCTTAGAGTCTGGGTGCTGATAATTACCCGAGCCGGAGGCGAGGGTAATTATCAGCACCCAGACTCTAAGCGGTATTAAACAGAGTGATAAATACCGACCGAGCACATATTTATTCCCATTCATAAATACCTTATCCGTAAAAAAATATCAAATAATTCGTTCATAAAATCCCGATTTTGTTCAACAAGTTCACTTCATGCTTTTTGAAACATCCCTCTAGCAAAATAATGGAGTGTTCAGCTGGCGAGTAAGATGTAAACAACCCTTTTATGGAGATTGACGCGCGCGTAACATGTTCTGCGCGATGTCACGCAGAACGCACCTGGGGCGTTGCGTTTTGAATTTAGAACTATAAAATTCTGACTCGCTTGTAGTGTTGCGCATGCCTACGTGAGGATTGTGAACGTTCAACCAATGAAACGGTAAGAGGCACTGGATTTTTAGGAGTCCACATTTTATTGTGACACTGGAAAAGTGTTTAAGACCAGCTAGCCATGTCTTTATCAGCTAGCCATGTCTTTATCATGCGTTTAAGACCGGCCACGTGACGGGCTCTCGACCAATAGGAATAGCTAAACTGTCTGAGGTATTTATGAATGGTATTTGATTATACATTTCGCTCTCTCTTATGATTATATACTTTCAAAATAAAATATGTTGAAATTGTCTGGGATTTGTACATTTAAACCGACATATTTGCGTTTTTGCGCCATATCGCGGAATTCCCGAACGACATGATTAGCACTGGGCGCGCGAGGCCCACACCATAGATGTGGCGGGCGGGGGTTGTTTCACAAAACCAGAAGTGAAATTGTTGAAAACAACTTTTGGAAATCCTTAAATGTTTAATATTGTTTTCACTTCTTGATGGAGAGGTATTTACGAATGGGATTACGCATGTGCTTGGCCGGTATTAAACAAGAACGTTTTAAACCGACTGGGGCCTAATCGCGGATAATGAGACTCCCTTATCTGCGTCCAGGCCCCCAGTTGATTTCAAACGTACTTACCTGCTAATTTTACATTTATTCCCTAATAAAAATCACATCAAATTATATTACCATATTCAACCGCATTAGGACCATACAAGTAACAAGTAGAAACAAAAGCGAAATATACACGCGTGTCAACTGAAGTCTGTGTAACAAAACATAACAACCTTAAAATCGTAATTTCCAACTGTGATAATACTTGAAATTGTAACGGTACTAAACTTATGTAATTTAATGTAATATATGTAACATGTGTAATTTACACTTGTTATCAAACAAATACTAATATGTTATCACCAAGTTCGTTAACCATAATTCACCTTTCAAGGTAATTGATTATACATATTGATCCCTCTTATGATTATATTCTTTCAAAATAAAATATGTTGAATTTGTGTGGGATTTCTACCTCTATTCCAACATATTTGCGTTTTTGCGCCATTCTCAAACAACATCTTTAGCACTTCGTGCGCGAGGCCGACACCATAGATATGGCGGGCGGGGGTTGTTTCACAAAACTAGATGTAAAATTGTTGAAAACAACTTTTGGAAATCCTTAAATGTTTAAATTGTTTTCACTTCTTGACGGAGAGATATTTACGAATGGGATTACACATGTGTTTGGCCGGTATTAAACAAAAACGTTTTAAACCGACTGGGGCCTAATCGCGGATAATGACACTCCCTTTCGGATCAACCCGTTATCCGCGTCCAAGCCCCTAGTTGATTTCAAACGTACTAGCCTGCTAATCACACATTTATTCCCTGACTTAAAATCGCATCAAATCATATTACCACATTTAACCGCATTAAGACCATAAGTAGAAACAAAAGACAAAATGTACACGCGTATCAAATGAAGTCTGTGTAACAAAGCAACAACCTTTACATCGTAATTTCCAACTATGATACTACTTGAAATTGTAATGTATTAAACTTTGTTATAAAAAAATACTTTTGTAATACCTCTGTCTTGAATATTGTTTTTCCAATTGCCTAAAGTTTATCAAAACTCATAGCACACTCCCGACATCGCGTACGTAATATCCCACATGGAGTGTGCTATATGACTTTGTACGTACGTTACGTACTGCGTGAAACGCTTGTATCATTGGTACCGACGGTATTGTCACAATGTATAACACATGAGTGGGAGCAGCGAACTAGCAGACGATCAGCTATTTCGAGCACGCTACATGCGTGTGAGTTGACGTTCGATTGTCATGATTGCTGTGTTTACTGCTGTTTGGTTTCGTGATTTTTACATCAAAATCAAAAGAATCAAAAGACAGAGGTATAACAAAACAATTTTTGACTGCCGTGATGTGGGATATGACGTTTTTAACCCATCAGGGCGCTTCGCCTGGGGTGCTATGCGCCCCTCGGGTGTTAAAAACGTCATATCCCACATCACAGCAGTCAACAATGGTTAAATATCTTGTCACCAAGTTCGTAAAACATAATCCATATATTACTGATTACGTGATAATCGATCCTTTACGCGGTAATTGGTTACATAAATTCCACTCTCTTATGATTATACAGCTTTAAACAAAAATAACGTGAACGTTTGTCTGATCTGTACCTTTACACCAAAATATATTTAATAAACAATACTTACCAAACACCTTTCCTCAGATAACTTTACTTGATATATATTTTTAGAGTGTACACAAACTGCTTGATATTTAATTGTGCCGATCAACAAAATCATGTTTGCAATTAATACAACAGTAGCCTACAATAATCAGATGGAATAATCCCGTAAGAGATAATAAAGTCAAATTGAATTGAATTGAATAATGAATATAGCAGGTGAATATTCATTCCTCGCCATTATCACAAGTCTACAGCAGGTCTATGTCTGCAACCAGTTAATGGTGTATATAAGCGATTGAAAGAGATTACCGTGCTATACCCTAAAAGACTGTAGATTTACATCTTCAATAAAAAGTTTATAAAAAGAAAATACATACTTACACCTTATGTTATAATTACCGATAATGGGTCACTAGGGAGACATTACCACACTCTTGTGCACATCCCCCTCCCGCATTTATGACTCACCCCAAATATATTTCCTTATCCTACGCCCACGAATTTTGGTATGTTTTACTAATTGGACCACGAGCGATCGATCTAGCTATTTGCCTCTAAATAGGGACAGAGACAAAAAGTCTCTACTCAATTTCCGTCTCCCAAAGATATAACGTATGATGACGCTTAAGAGTTTCCACAAATGTCCTATTTGGTTTTGTAAGGCGATATACAAGAATACAGTTTTCTTTCTGTGTTGTTATGTTTGTAATTATTGTATAAAAAGCGTAGCTTAAGCGAAGCCTTATTCGGTCACCTGCGAGCTGCATTTTAGGCGTACACGCTATGTGCCAAAACAAGACAAGCCAAGCCTAGTAAAAATGGTCCCAGGGTGCACAAATGTAAACTTAAGTGAATCTCACTTTTAAAACAAATCCGAATATATGGACATCATATTCGTTGTTGTTGGGGTTTTTTTTGCCCTAGCCTGTACCAGGATTTCAGCTTTTTTTTTGTCTCAAGATTTAATCCCCTTGCCTTGCGGGAGTTTATTACTTGCCACCACAAGCATGAAATATTTATTATCACTTGACTTAATGACTAATGACATATTATATTTTGCCCAAATACTTCTTGAGTGGCCTTCACAAACACAGATCTTCAATAAATATAACATTCATTGTAATATTTGTTCATGTAGCCAGTGATAAAAGCAGCATATTTTTATTGTTGAAATTGTAACACAAACAACGGAAATCCTGAATTATGGGACTGGGTGTATGTGGGTTTGCTTTTGCATTTAACAGGAGACGTTGAACAAAAGAGGACAATATGGTCCACAATTCCCGAAGGTCCGCGATACATAAGGGAGGTCTTCCTAAAAAGTTAAAAGTATTAAGTGTAAACTAAGGCGGGACAATAGGGGGTCCACGAATGAAGGTGTTTCGAACCTGCTTGTGTATTTACATGTACGACTTTACAAAAGAGGACATACACAAAGGTGAGAACAAAGGATCCAGTCCTCGGGCGTTTGGGATTTTATTGAAAACGGTCCTCGATCGTACGTTGTGTGCTTAGTTTATGGAAGAGAGTTATATTACAGGGACAAAGGGAAACACAAAGCATTGTCCTCGGGTGTATATAGTTCACGACTCTGTGTAGAGTGTTTGTGTCCAGAGAGGATCGACTGGCCACCTGTGGTTTCGCAAATTGCCTGACGGGATATACCGGATAATTTTGCAGTGGGCTGTGTGAAATTTAAACTACGAGTATGAAGTACACGACCGTGGTTTTTAAGAGGCAAAATCACCTCATGTCATGCAAAAGAGTGTGAGGTCAAATCTGAACCGGATTCCAGGTCAAATCTGATAAGGACTTATGATAACTGTCCACTGAATCATTATTGTATTGTGGACTGTGTCTGCCTTACAACCCCGACACGGAAATATCCAACTCTGCGGTGTGCACACTTGATGGGGAGGTAGCACTCTGGGATATCTCAGGCAGATCATAGGACTGTTTTTGGCTCGCTCGGGCCGGCGGGTGGCAGCAACGGATGCGTCTTACGTAAGGTGCCAAGGCAACGCGAACCTCCTCGCGGCGAACACAGAACATGATGAAGACAATCACTCCCTGACAATTTGAAGGGAAAGGTACAAAAGTTTGCTTAAAAAATAGTTGTAAAAAGTGGCTTTGGTTCTGAACGTCTGTTCAATAAATGCTCGCAATCGGGGAGATATCATAAGAAGCCATGGGTCAGAAGTCCAACTCCATTTTCATGAATTTGGTTTCCATCATCTTGTCTGCGTGAGGTTTTAGAGATGAAGACATTTATTCACACTAATTTGAATGGATTGAGTGTACGCACCAATCAAAGTAATTAGTAATCAAAGTAATCTTTCGCAACCTAACAATGTCAGTACTTAACCACATGATTGGCAATCGGTGAGTAAACAAACACAAACACATTAGTTTCTATGACATTGCTGACACTTATGTGCAATCTGACCAATTTTAGGTTTGATAAAACTTCTTCATTTACCTTGAAAAATTGCACATAGAAATTGACTGAAGCGGGGTTTGAACCTGCGACCTCCAGATAACCGCTCCAGTGCTCTTACCAACTGATCTATCCAGCCCTATGTCGGCGGTTCCTGAATTAGTCAATTCCTTTGTTGTTATAATGCACCTAGTCAGTTTCCATTTGGGGTTCATTTGGTGTCCATTTGGGGTCCATTTGGGGTTCATTTGGATTTCATTTGGGGTCCATTTAGGTCCATTTGGAGTTCATTTGGGGGCCATTTGGGGTTCATTTGGGGTCCATTTGGGTCCATTTGGAGTTCATTCGGGGTCCATTTGGGGTTCATTTGGAGTTCATTTGGGGTCCATTTGGGGTTCATTTGGAGTTCATTTGGGGTCCATTTGGAGTTCATTTGGTGTCCATTTCGGGTTCATTTGGAGTTCATTTGGGGTCCATTTGGGGTTCATTTGGAGTTCATTTGGGGTCCATTTGGGGTCCATTTGGAGTTCATTTGGGGTCCATTTGGGGTTCATTTGGAATCCATTTGGGGTTCATTTGGATTTTATTTGGGGTCCATTTGGAGTTCATTTGGGGTCCATTTGGGGTTCATTTGGAGTTCATTTGGGGTACATTTGGGGTTCATTTGGGGTTCATTTGGGGTCCATTTGGAGTTCATTTGGGGTCCATTTGGGATCATTTGAAAACTTCTTTATTGTAAATACACGTCAATCTAATTTTAATTACGTTTCACTATTTAATCATTTTCCAACGTTTACTTCTTGCTTTATGGAAATAAAACACATTCAAGTGGTACATAACAGAACATTTGCCTTACTTTTGCAGAAAAACGAATAGTCCTCATGGCAACAATCACTCAAAAATTAAATGGTGCATTGAATTGAATTGAAACTTGCGAATCTGCAGTCACAGTCCAAACAGAACGTTTGCCTTAATACTGTAGTACTCATCAATGGTATCCGTAAACTTATATCTGGGTAAATATTAACGTAATTATAATAACTCTTGATTGCATGATAGGGCGACACTTCCAGAGAAATGTGCACACATTATTTTCAAACTTTAATGTGACCTAACCCAATTTTATCTTATCCGATCCCAATCGAGTTTGGTATGTGTACGTTTTGGACCACGAGCAATCGTTCTAGCCCATTTGCGACGATACAATTATTTCGCTAAAGGGTAGTGACCTCAATGGGGCGACACCAAAATTGTCGCCCTATTGCGGTGTGTCGCCCTAATGTTGGAGAAGTCCCGCACAACTTGTCGCCCTATTGCGGGATTCATGCTAATTTCAGCAATTGTTTTAATAATCATTATTATGCCATAATTTGAAATCAAGGCATGATGAGGGTTGTGAACCTTCTGTTAAAATATCGTGGGTATTGCCAACAAATTGCTAAAATACCTCACAATTACACGCAATTCGCAGCTTGTCTCAAAATGAAATAAAATGGTGTATTTACCTGCAAGGAGTTGAAAATGCAGAAGAGGAGCTGAAAGGCATCCCTTGCACCATCATGAGCAATGGCCAGGAACCCGAAAGTCCAGGTCAAGCCCATGAGGGCGGAGATTCCCACGGCGTTCTGGAGGCGTTTGGAGATCTGCTGGGAGCGGGATGCCTCTCGGACCTTCAGGAGACTGCGCATGACCAAGATGAAGGTGATGATGTTGTGGATGAGGATGAGACCAATGGGAGCAAGGAGGCCGATGAACAGCACAAGATCTGGTTTCATGAAACAACTAGCAAGAGGGGATAAGATGGGGTTAAGAGTATTGTCAAAATATTGTCAATTTATGTTGACAATACTTCCTTTTACGTTACCAATGAATGAACATACAGGGTGAGTCAAAAAAAGAAGAACCCAAACCCACAAAAATATATTTAAAAAAAAAATCTAGCACACCAAACATAATAATAATCGACTGGAAAGCCAATTTCATAAGCTACTCTTAGATGAAAAACTACTGAAATTGCTCAATCCGTTCGACGAATATCACCGTTCAAACGCGATAAAACCTGTTTCGTCAAAAAAGCAGTTAAGTTGTGTATTCTGACTGTTTGGAAAAACAAAGAAAATGACACAGAATACTTGTTTCAACAACTATCAACAACTATGGTTCACAATATCTTTATAAACAACCCTGGTTAGGCGAACAATATGATTTATAAAATCCACTCTTTTGAAAAGATGGGTTTTGAAAAGGACCTTTTTTGACGAAAAATGTTTAGTTTCATTGTGTTTAAATGGTGATATTCTTTGAACGGATTGAGCAATTTCAGTAATTTGTTCATCTAAAAGTAGCTTATGAAATTGGCTTTCCAGTCTTTAGTATTGTTGGTGCTAAATATATACATTTTTAAATATGAAATATAATGTTTAGGGTTTGGGTTCCGTTTTTTGTTACTCACCCTGTATTACGTAATCAGGAAATCTGATTTTCCAATCCATAATCAGCCAACAGTCGACATACTACGCTCCAGTTTTCATCTTTTTACAGAACGACAATAATACCAATATTTTTCATATATCAAAATTGTGCTAGTTTATACACTACTTATGACACTTACTAGTCCTCGTTGTCGTAGTGGCTTACCGCTGCTGCTAAGGTTACAGTCAGAACTATCAATGGAGAACCTGTAAAGAATATAACAGGCATTTCTGCGTCACACTTAATTTGATAAATGAACTAAAGATAGCACACACTGTATGTTATTAATTGTTGCAATCAAGAAGTTAACCGCAAACTATATTGGTAGCATTTTCTTTATTTCATATTTACTAAAGTTGAGATTCCGGCATATTTAAATGTTACAAATTTATATGTTGATTAAGCATCCACACTGTTCGAAATTCGACTACTGAAGTTAAGGGTCGATATTCAAGTCAAACGAAGAGAAACAAGTGCGACTGCACAACAAGCTCTGATCGTGTTGCAAGAAGCCTTGCGTGAAAGTCTTGCAGGAAAACGGTAAAAATGATCCCTGCCAGAGCTGAAAAATGCGACGCCGAAAAATGCGAGGCCGATGACATATATGGGACACTATACCTTTGGTAAATTTTCGGAGACAGTCAGACGGACAGACAGACAGCCCGACCGACCATCCGCCCGATTTACCACCCGGAGACAGGTATAGAAGCTCCTGCCAGAGCTCACAAAAATTGATACACAACATAGAGGAAAAAATACCTAAATGTTCTCTGGAAACTCACCCCACGCAGACACTTTTGTTTTACTATGCTCGCATGGACAATGCTTTGTGTCTCCCTTTGTCCCTGTTATATAACACTCTCTCATAGACTAAGCACACAAACTTACTACAGAGGACCGTTTCTAACAAACTCCCGAGGACTGAAATGATCTGTTGTTCTCCCTTTGTGTGTCGGTCCTCAGGGGTTATGAACACGTACAACATGAAAGGCTTTCAACATGCATCGTGGTGTATTTTCAGGATAAACTTTCACCTAAACATCTTCCTTAATCTCAACTCGAACTTAAGAGTAAAATATCGAATAAGGTAAATTTGAAATCACAAGTGCAAAAGGACTGTATGCAAAGTAACTAGATAACAACAGTGATTATGTGCATAGTTCCAGGAAACTTACCCCACGCAATGAGACAGGCTTTCACCATGTATCGTGGCGTGTCTTCTGGGAACACCTTCACCGTACTGACGTACATGTTCCTGGCTTCAACGGCCATCCACAACATAGTGGATAGAGTCAGGTAGTGGAGTAAAGCGGCCACAAACACACAACCGCCGCCTGAACCCTTTTGTTAATATATGTACCAAAATTGTGGTTTTAATAATTGGACTAATTCATGTGATTCATAAAGCAGACACCGCCAAGAGTTTGCCACAGAGAGTTCATTCATTCCCCGGTGCATTGTGAAGGATGGTCGACGAATTCGTAGCGCGGAAAATTTGGTATTGTTCGTTTCTCCGGACTGTCGTACAGTTTCGTAAGCCTATGATTGGAGTTTCCGTTTGCCCTTTTCTTCGCTTTTTATCAATACTGTGGTTTTTTTTTGGTAAGGCGGCAGAACGCTATGCCCCAATCTAAAACAAATTAGCTCAAGTTGTCTATTGACACTCATTCAAATGGGCCATGTTTTGTCGACCGTAAACCTGAAAAATTGACTCTCCATGGCAACTCTTGAATCGCCCGAAATTATGGTGAACAATGGAAATTAACCCTCCATGACGGAAATTACAATAATGAAATCTAAGTTTTAACTATTCATACCTTTATTAAGTTTTTCTCCGATGAGCTTTGGACTTACCCTTGCACTGTCAACGCCGGCGAGGAACACAATGTACAACATCAGCAAGGAGAAGCAGAAATGGATGAAGATCTGCCGAGATTTGCCGGTACGTAGTTTTCTAAGACAAGACAATTTAAATCTAAGTGTCACATAGCCTTGTTCAATGCGGTCTCTCAGCTTTTTTGTCGAAGGGAGATAATCGGGCCCTGCACCCACAATCAACGCGTCTACGTGCGTGTACGACCCTTGTCCGTACGAACGGCTAACACAACCAGCAAGCACACACACGTGAGTACGGACTGTACGCATGGTGTAATAAGGCAGTTAATGTAGGCCTACTGTGTTCTGCGTGTAGGTGTACGTACGTACGTGTGGGGGATATACGCGCCGCGTGGCCTGTCGAACGACCGCCTTGTTGGGTCTGCAACTTCCGGGTTTAATGTCTTTCTTTACTTTTTCGTCCAGTTTTGGAAAAAAATGGGCGGGCTTCAGGATATGCGGGTATGCCGTGCATGATTATGTAGGTTCGTCTTGGACCAATCACATGAAACAAACTTCCCAATAGTATGATTAATTCATTCTAGCTGACCAATCGTAAGCTTCACAAGAATCATGTGACGTCGCGCGACATGCATAATGCATTACTCATCATGGCGTCTTCTATGTCTTTTTAGCGAGAGCGAAATGTTCGTCACTTTTTCAACAATTTGACATTGATTCGAGTTTTTCGGCTCGTGTAATGAATCCATTTGAGTGGGCAACGATCGTCTTATGACAGCATTACCTGCATAATTCGTTGGAGCCTTCAATACTGCTTCGGACAGACTGGGACTGAACGACTTTCACCCACAGCAACGGGCCGCCATTGCAGCGTTTCTTCGCGGATGCGACGTGTTTGTTAGCCTATCGCGGGCTAACCAATGAGAATTCAGTATACGCGGGGGTGGTACCTCATTACCGTAATAGGTTTTGCTGGGTCAACTCAAAACCATCAAGGCGTTGGGTTACGCGGACTAGCTCATGCATGTACTGTGTGTGCATGGCTGTTGTACGAGTACGTGTGTGTACGTGCGTACGTGAAAGCATCGCTGTATGGTACAAGTTACTTTCTCACTAGCAGCGTACGGGCATCGATATGTGCACGCAATGCCTTGCCAAGTTGATTAGGGATTTTCTTAATATCGGCGATTTTTTTTTATTTATCGGCGAATCGATAAGCCCAACGCCTTGGTCAAGGCTAAGTGTCACATAGAACATATATACAGCCGTGTGCTTGCAAAGGCCGATTTCTAAAGGTTACGTAATACTTGAATGAAACAACATGTTCAGGGACACGTTTACTTTCGCGGGCGAAATCTTTGAAAATTAATTCCTCCTATTTGAAAGAACGTTTCTTCATACAACTTTCAGGATTTGTTCCCGTTTAATGATCCAACTATGTGCTGAACATTGTTTTGATATGTTGAGAAGTTTTCATTGAAATCGGTTAATAGGCCTGGTAACGTGTATTTTAAAGAGTGCCAAAAACTGGTGTTTGCAATATCTGTCAATCTTTACAAGCCTCACGAATATTAATACGATTCTTATCATTGTGGGTGTGCTGTAATAAATTGCAGAATAGCCTCCTTCACGTGTTACTAATTAATAAAAATCACCCTTTTTGCCGGCTTCCATTGGTCGATACCGAGACCCATGCGAAGTCACGCCGGGTCACGCTAATGAATATGCTAATATGCGTTTGTCATTGTTGCCACAAAATCAGCTAAGTGGGCCAACCTAAAAACCATGCATGTCAGTTTGGTCGGCAACAAATCCTCGTCAAAGTTTACCTTAGTCTTACCTGATAGTGATATATATTATCAGCGTGATAACCAGGGCAATGATGGACAAGGCACATCCGACCTGGCTGAGGATATCAAGAGCTTTCTTATAAGGAGTGTCCTCAGTCTTTTGCCCCTTGACATCCTACAAGAAAAACAGCACACAGACTGCAATCAGTAATCATTCAAAAATGAATTTAAGGATATGTATTAACATGACACTTATTTTCTATTATATAACAGTATTTTGACACTTCTCCAATCGGTCAAAATGAGTCTTCTCCTAGTCACCTTTCCGGGCAGTTTGACCCGGAAAAGTATAATTTTTACACCAGAGTTGTTATTTTAACTAAGAACAGTGTCGTTTTTACCGGACAAATCGGGCAAAATGACACTTCTCCGATTGGTCAAAATGACACTTCTCCGACAGTGGCGTCACCAGACTTTTCAGTCTGGGGGGGGGGGGGGCACAGGGGGGGTACCAGCATTTGGTGGGGGGGGGGGGGCACTTAGGTGGATACGGATCGCCGTCCTGGGGGAGGGGTCTAAGGGGAGGCGGTGCCCCCCTCCCCTTTGGAAAATTTTCGCATACGGAGGATGGGCTAGATGCAAAATGGTGCCACATTTGCAGCTCATTTGAAGAAAATACGAATTACTGTGCTTCTTTGTCCTTATGAAAAACCAACTCAGATGATGGGAGTTGAATATAACAAAATATATATATATTTTTTTACCAACCCACATCTCAGATGGGGGGGGGGGCACTCGGGGGGGCACTAGGTTTTCCAGGGGGGGCACGTGCCCCCCCCCCCCCTGGCCCCCCCTTGGCGACGCCACTGTTCTCCGATTGTTAAAAATGACACTTCTCCGATTGTCCATGAATAGTGTCATTTAACTCGACGAATTATCCTTTTACCTTAGTTGAATGTCGATCAGGTTAACTCTGACCTTGATTCCGAGTCGAATCTAATCTGGAGCTTTCAAAAGTAGGAGAAAAACCGCAAAAATTGCCAGTCCATGGAACTTCTCTTACGAGTTTTGTACTTTTAAAGATTGTACATTTAGAAACAGCGTGACATTCCTAGGATGCGTTTGCTTAGCTCACCCAGGTCGACATGGGTAAAGGTAGACGGGTCAGCAACGACAGCCGGGCTTATCGAACGCTCAACCGCGGGTTATCAAGATCCTCACTTGACGCGCATTGCCGTGGCCGTAGCCACTGACAAAATACCCGTTTCGGATTGGGTCTCAGCTTTCCAAAGTAGTAAATCTCAAGACCCATTCAGAAACGGGCGTGTTAAAACTCCAAGAAGATGGGCTGAAATTCAAACCTCGGAAGTCGCAATTAACTCATTAACTGATAACCTTTAGACTTACAATTAAAGTCAACCTTTAAGTCCACTTGAGATTGCCGCTGTCCGGCCGCCATATTTGTGGGCTTCTCGGGAATGAACAACGCATGCGTGACGTACTTACACCAGTGACTCTGCTCCACGAGACAATGACGTCAGAGCTAATCGAACGGCATGGGGCTGACCCGTGTCGACCCAGCTGAGCCAAACGAACGCACCTTTAATTGGATCAAGTACGTACCACAAGGATTGCAAAGTTTGTGGCGTGGTAGCAATAGCAAGACACCACGTCATCGGTCATGTCTACGTCTGCGCGCGTGCACCCAACATCCGACCAATCCCCGACGCCGTCCTCGAGTTTAAAGTCCCAGGAGACACACTTGGTGGTGTTTAGTTCTTTGATAGTTGTATTACTGGGCTTCTGTTGGCATTAAAAACATGGATTCTCAATTGTCTGAAAGCTTCAGTTAATCTTCTATAGAAGTGTTTTAATTCATCAATATCATTTAGAAATTAAAGTTCTCTTTTAGAAACTCAGGTCTCATGGCGTAACCTTTAAACCTATATTAACATATATTTTAACTTCGGAGCCTATTTTCTTCTTAACCCTAACGTCACCTAAATCTACAAAATACTACCACCACTAAACTGTAGTATGAAATACTTCAGCATATAAGTGTGCACATTACTCGTATTCTGTAGTACTCAGTTTTTTTTTTATCTCAACGTAATGGCTAGGAAGTTAGACAGTAACCTTCACGAATGTACATATTGTTTATTATGCCTGACATTTTAACAAAATTTGAACCAAAAAAAAAAAAAAAATTGTTTGCCTCAAAGTAAGTTGTCATCACATAATGTCACAATAGCAACATTGTTATTGTAGCTCTATAAGTGTTTCAGAATTCGGCAGTTTGCCTGAAATCGGTTTTAGGTAACTTCCATCGTCTCACCTTAAATTGTACCACCACGGGATCCGTGAGGTTGACGAGGTTCACATTTTCCACAGTCAGCGAGACGACAGAGCCGGCAACCTTACGTGTCGTGTTATCTTCATCTGTGTGTCTTCTGTTGGAAGCTGACTGGAACAGCGTGTCATTTGCGTAGATTAAGAAACTCACTTGCAAAGGGCTTGAACCACTACCTTTAAAGACAAACAACGAAAGTGTTAATTTGGTAGTTATGTAGTGTAGGCTGCAAACAATACATTGTGGCGATGAGAGAAATATACTTCAATTGATGGATACATATCTCATGAGGTGATTTGCCCTATTAAAAACCTAGGCCTTTTCATACCAGGCTTTCAATGTTTATCTTTCACTGAGTCCAGTTAATCCCGTAAGGCAATAAGTACCACCACAGGAGTCCAGTCCAAATGGTACTGTTTACTTCCTGCTAAATCTAACTTTTGAATCCATTATACATGTTACATTTACAGGCACAGACCGAAAAATTCACGATTTCTGTTGCTTGTGCATCGATTTCAATGATCAAAAGACGAAACTATGGTTTCATTACAGAACAAAAAAGAATATTACGTTGGACATTTAATTCGTGAAAATTCTAGTTGCGTTTAGGCCACTGAGGATCGATTCAGGCATGCCGGCAAGTTGTTGTCAAGCAGTACTAATCTGTCCCTGCTGGCTTTAGGCATTCATCTGGCGCTAAACTGCCCTAAAGAAATGCAATCTGAAGATAAAAGAGATCCTTTACTCTGGTTCAAAACCCCGAGTATAATGGCTCAATCCGGGTTTTACGTAAGAGGATTCACGGCAGTCGGCATGTGAGGCTTCGACCGAAGGCTGTTTACATGTTGAGTCATTATTCAAGTCTTACAATCAAACATTAAAACAGCTTGCGTATGAATTTGTCACAAGACGTTGACCCATTTACGAACCCACAATGCTCCCAGGTAGTTGGACAGATGCGACCACGTCGATATCCGAGGGGATTTCATCCCCATAAGTCTCGACTTGAGTTCCATCCAGTGAGCCCTCTGGTGGTGGCCCTTGTCCAGGCTGCCGTACCGACACGAAGCTGAAGCCATTACTATACTGCGCTCGATCCAGACTGACCGCTTTCACGTGGATGGTCTCCTGACGGATGCTGACATTACCCTCTTGTCTAAGGGTCAAGGAGACTTGAGTCTCCACGGATCGGACGATCGCTGATGAGCTGGCCGAGTTGACAGAATCGGGCTCTGCACTTGCCATGATGACATTGTTGACGGTCTCAAGTACCAACTCTGTCACCTTTTAGAGGATCACAACAATTTCATAAAAGTGTTTTTACTTTTAATAAAATACACAACAGTAATTCAATCCGAAATGTATAGCCAAGTCAACCAGGAGTCCATAAGCAGTCAAATTGCAGGTCAGGTCACAGGTAACAGGATATGAAGCGAGGCAAACTAATGTCACATTTTACTAACAATTGTTGTCAGTTTACATTGGATGAGTTGTGACTGACTTTTTGTGGCTTTCTTACGTCTCTGCATTATAAGATTTGAAGGTTTGTATTGTGGAGAGTGCAATAAGAGTAAGTTTGAAGTTGTCCCATGTAACCAATATCTTTTGTGAGTTTGTGAGGTTCCCCTCGGTTCTTCTTTAAAACCTCACAAACTCAACCAAAAAAAAGACCTGTGCAACTGATATCTTACCGTTATTGTTTTTGCATAAAGTATTCATGAATGTGTTAAGTCAGTGAAACCACGACAAGCTTCGAACCTACCATACATAAACCGTTTGATATGTATTGCTGCTGCTGATACCAAATTGTACCAAACAAATATACTGAAAACCATAATAGCAGTCACCTTCTTACCTCGGTGTCGCCCGATCCTGCCTCGACAATGTTCATCAAAATATCAGAAACCGCCTCAACATCATCTGACCCAGGTTCCGATGTCTGAGTGGCCAGAAACTCGGCAACTTCAACTGCATTCCCTGTAGTCACGTTGACCTGCAAGTGATGGAGGTGTACGGACAAAATAGGTGTTAACATTGTGATTGTTAGACAAGAAGAAGGTTCAGAATCTATAACATTTGTTCTTGTACGTATGTGTGAGATATTCCAAAGCGCCAAAAGTTCTAGTTCTTGCATCTCTGAGAACAGACTAATGAGAGTAGAACCATATACTTTCACACACACTCACCCACCCATTCTCAAATTTGTATCCTTGTGGAGACATTCCTTTGTTCTCGTGTAGTAAAGTGTTCAATTTTGAAAGTGAAGTTTCAAAATGCTCTTATTTTAACCAGAATTAGTTTCCTTGGCTGAAATTTGGACTTAATATCCCTTTTCTAAAACTCTTTCATTTGCGACGGATCAACCCACCTTGGAAATTCCTAGTTTTTGAGTAAAACCCATATATCTATTTCGTGAAAACCTTGTGGAGACCTATTCATCTATAGAAATTGCCTTGTGGAGACCTTTACAATGTTTTGTTCCCTATTGTGTGTGTGTCTCCACAAGGATACGAATTTGTAGTCACACCTACGCTTACATAGGCATAATAGTGGGGTACTTCCTTTGTTCTCGTGTACTAAAATTTTGCAACGTCGCACACTAAGGTCAACATGCTCTTTTTTTAACCATAGTTAATTTCCTGGGCTGAAATTCAGACTTAATATCCCTTTTCTAAAACTCTTCCATTTGCGACAGATCAACCCACCTTGGAAATTCCTAGTTTTTGAGTAAAATCCATATATCTATTTCTTGAAAAACTTGTGGGGTACCAAAACGGTACACCGCAAGTCGGTGGGTATTCCTTGTGGGGTACCTCCCATTGTTCCGGTACCCCACAAGGCAGTGTTTGTACACGCATAAACGTGAACACACACAACAGCACACACCCACGTTTACGGTACATACGTCGTGTGGACATCCCTTTGTTTTCGTGTAGTTAAGAAAAACCTGTGAAAATAATTTTTTTCACACTGTGGAAACTATTTCAACCTTTATTTTTTTCTATAATTACTTTCAGTGTTTCTCTTTATTTTGCCACGGATAAACCTAACCGAAAATGCCTTTAAACCTGTTTTCCAGAGAGGGGGAAACATTGTGTGGAGTTGGGCAAGTCCACACAACGTCGCTGCTACCTGGTTTATGTGGACCTCTTTTGTTTAGAAGTCCCCACAGTGATTGATAAAAACACGTAGGGCCTTCTTCGTATCACGTTTGCATTTTTTTTTTTTTTTTTACCTCACATTGCCTTTATTACAAGCACAGCTCTTTAATACGATGTGACCCACATCTCGAAACACGCCCACGCTTAACTGTGAGCAGCTAGATTTCATAACTGCCACATGACACATTTTTTCCTGGTAAAGTCGCAAACAACTTTTCTTCCAACAACTGCCGACCTGATTTGGTGTATGGTTAAATGCGAAGTACCTCATTACCTTTGCGACACGTTCAAGGGTGACGTCATTCATTGTTTCACCGCAACTGCGAGGTTCGGGTTCCTCCCATTGGAAATACAAAGTAGGTTCTTCTATTGAACAGATCCTGACAGCAAGAGGTTCTCCAGCTGTAGAGAGTGCACGTGTATGAGTTGCAATTAACACATTCAAAGTTATAACAAGAAATGCAGTCTCAAGTCAAATGACATGGTATTTAAATGAACTGTGACAAACTATTCTTTTATTTTTCATCTTGATGCCGTGTCTTATCTTGCGATGTTTTCGATTAAAATTCAGCTTTATTTGTAGAGAGCGTGAAATATTTTCTAACTGATATGACCTTCAACCTCCGCCCGGTACTAATTATATCTTGTCTGACCTTCTAGCTTCATTTAAAAGAATGGGAAAATCAGTTCCTCGTTAAGTAATCATGGAAATACTGGATGCCCTATGGAAAAAGAGGAATTCGAAAAATATAAACTCATTCAATCTTCCAGGAGATGCAAGTACCACAATTTGGGCCATACATGTACACGAATCAAGGAGGTTTTTTTCAAAGGCAAAAGCATTGTGCACGCTATTGTCTACATGGCGAGTAAAAAGAACTGCAATGACGCAAATTCCCTCTTTTTTTCAAAACCAAGGTAATGTCTTGAACTTTTTAAGCGTTGTAAGAATAACATATTCGTTAGCAACCTTGTGTGAAAAACAAATGAATTTAATTGCTTCAGCGTTTGTGTTTTGTGAACCTTTTTACAGCGGTATATAGCCAATTTACGTTGTTTTTTTTCCAGAAGGCGTCTCAAAATTGCAAAAGAGCACACAATTTGTTTGTCCCGAGCCATTGTTTTTTATAAGGTGTGGAACTGAGAAATGCATTGCCTTGCAGGGCTGCCAAGTAGAGGGCAGAGATGAAATTGTGTGAACAATGTAGGACACTATAGTAACAGTATAGCCCAGATACACTTTACATAAGCATAAAGAGGTGAAACAGCAACATAAAGCGTGAGCTACAGTTCAGTCAGTTTTAAATCTGCGTAGTCTAATGTCTGCATTGTACCGTTTCCGCTCTTACGCAAAACGTTGTTGCCTTGTGGACAAAGGCGTAGCAGTGAAAAGGATTTATAAAAGACAAACGGTTAATTGAAATTAATTTCATTATTTCACACAAGGTTACTAACGAATACGTCATTTCTACTAGGTTTAAAGAGTTCAAAACTTCAACTTTGTCTCAAAAGAGATGGCGTCTTTGTATCATTGCAGTTTTTCTGACTCACCCTGTACAAATTGATAATATCTAACAATGCTTTCGTCTTTTAAAGGGGGCTGTCGTGTATGCATGTGACAGGTAGCCAGTCTATTAGAGTGTGTCAAAGGTCAACTCGTGTAAGAGTTGCTATGCGCGGAGCCATGTTGAATAAACGTGTGTTACGAAGTTGTAAGCCAAACCGAGCTGGAGTTGTTGTGGTGCTATTTGCGTCCCAAGTTGTTTAAATACGAATCCGTTCCAAAGGATATAACATTGGCGACGAGGGTAAACAATGGAGAAAACCGTGATTCCCACCTTCGACTGCTTTTCAGAGCCGGCAAACCTCGGGCCGCGTTGGGAAAGGTGGCTCATGTCGTTCGAACTGTACGCGGACGGTAAGGGCCACATCGTTGGATCTGCCACCGCACCCGAGGTAAAGCAAAGACGACGGGCGTTGCTGCTCCACCTTGCGGGCCCAGACGTTCAGGAAATTTTTCAAACCCTGCCGAACACGGGTGACCCTGCCGACTACGATGCTGCAAAAAAAGCGCTGAATGCCTACTTTGTTCCCCGGAAGAACGCGGCATTCTCACGGCAAACATTTCATCAGTTGTCACAGAAGGAAGGAGAAACTGTGCTACAATTTGTAACCAGACTTCGGAGGGCGGCCAGGGATTGCGATTTTGGAGGGGAAAAGGACAATCAGATCAGGGATGCTGTGTTGAGTAAGTGCAAATCCGATTATGTTAGACGCAAACTGTTGGAAACTGGGGCTGAACTGACACTAGATAAGGCACTGCAAATAGCTGATAAATGTGAAAAGGTGGAAGGACAAATGGCTGCACTGTCTGGCAAAAGCAAAGACCCTAAATCTGACTCTGTCAACCGTGTGTCAGACAAGAAACAGAAATGCCGTGACAAGCAGTATAAGCCCAAAACGGAAACCAAACACTTATGGTCGCCACAATCACAAACGGGAAATCGGCGTACAAAACCTGAACCGACCCCCAAAAGTGCTTGCTACAGATGTGGTCGAACCGGACATTTCGGCCGTGACTCGAACTGTCCCGCGAGGGGTCAGACATGCCAAAAGTGTTCTGGCAGGGATCACTTCGCAAAGATGTGCAAAACAAAAACCAAGCCCAGAGTCAACCAAGTGGGTGAGGAACACGCCAACCCCGAGGCTTCACAAGATTACGCCTTCCTCATCCGAGAGGGACCACATTCGAACATGTTGAAGATCAAGGTGGGCGGAGTCGACCTTAACATGCTGATTGACTCGGGAGCCACAAGCAATATCATCGACGAGCAGACTTGGGACTCACTCAAACAGAACAAAATTCAGTGTGAATCCCATGTAGCCCCACCAGACAGAAAGCTGTGGGCGTATGGAGCAGACCGTCCCCGTCACTCAAGGGTACATTCGAGTGCGAAGTGCAGGTATCAGGCAGATCTACCCGAGCCGAATTCATCGTAATCAAAGGAAAGGGAGTACCGTTACTTGGCAAAGACACAGCAATGAAACTGGGCATACTCCAAATCGGAATCAATGTTGTAAGCGGCCACGCCGGGACTATAGATGAGGTCAAAGTTGACAGGTGCGCTAAGAACAGCTCAGCTATGAACGGTGACAAGGCCAAGCAGTACAAGCAGCAGTTTCCTGGGGTGTTCGGAGGCGTGGGTAAGCTGAAAACTGAGCAAGTTAAGCTCCACATCGACACCTCAGTTACGCCAGTTGCGCAGCCCCTTAGGCGAACACCATTCAATTTGCGCAGTAGGGTAGAACAAAAAATACGCGAACTAGAGTGCCTTGACATAATCGAAGCCGTAGATGGCCCGACACCTTGGGTCAACCCTGTCGTCGTGGTACCGAAACCGAACGGCGATATTAGACTTTGTCTAGATATGAGACGCGCGAATGAAGCGATCATACGCGGCCGTCATCCAATCCCTACTGTGGATGAACTTTTGCAAAGCATGAACGGCTCAAAGGTTTTCAGTAAACTCGATCTCAAATGGGGTTACCACCAGTTGGAACTCGCCACGGAGTCGCGAGGGATCACGACGTTTGTCACTCACTGCGGTCTATATCAGTACAAACGACTTCTGTTCGGAGTAAGTTCCGCGAGCGAACAGTACCAGTACATGATCGCAAAAGCGCTAGCAGGTCTTGAAGGCGTAGAAAATATCTCGGACGACATAATCGTACATGGCTCTGACCAAAATACCCATGACAGCAGAGTGCTTGCAGTGTTGCGCAGATTGCAGGAGCTAGGTCTTACCCTGAATGCTGAGAAGTGCCAGTTCAACATGAGCCGGCTAGTATTCATGGGGATCCTGTTGTCCGAGAAGGGCATTGGTCCCACGCAAGAACGCGTTCGAGCCGTATCCGAATTCAGAGAGCCCGAGAACGTATCAGAGGTTCGGAGTTTTCTCGGCCTAGTTGGGTTCAGTAGTAGATTCATACCCAACTTTGCTACTCTGTCCGACCCGCTTCGCAAGCTGACCCGAAAAGGCGTTCCATTTCAATTTGGGCCACACCAGAAAGCAGCCTTCAGCGCGCTTAAGGAGAGCCTTGCGAAGGCAACCACACTCGCGTACTATGATAAAACGGCACCGACAAAGGTGATAGGTGACGCGAGCCCAGTCGGCCTGGGTGCAGTATTAGTTCAGGAACAGCGTGACGGTTTGGTTCCAATCTGCTATGTGAGCCGCAGCCTGACCGATTGCGAAAGAAGATATTCGCAAACAGAAAAGGAAGCGCTGTCGTTGGTTTGGGCCTGCGAAAGATTCCATGCCTATATCTATGGACGCGACTTTGAGCTTCTAACTGACCATAAGCCACTCGAGGCCATATATGGACCCCGTTCCAAACCATGTGCACGGATAGAACGCTGGGTACTACGCTTACAACCGTACAACTACAAAGTTGTATACGTCCCCGGACGCGAGAATATCGCTGATGCCCTGTCACGCCTCTTAAGTGGCAAGTGCAAACCGGAACATGCCCATGGCGCGGATGAATATGTTCGTTTCGTAGCTGTACCTGCTACGCCGCGTGCCATGACCACAAAGCAAGTCGAAAACGCGTCTGCCGAAGACGGTGAACTTGCAAACGTCAGAGAAGCAATTCGCACTGGAAAGTTCGAAAACTGTAAGGCATACGCTCCGGTCGTAGGAGAGCTGTGTATCATGGGACAGCTTGTTCTGCGGGGAACACGCATTGTCCTACCACAGAAATTGAGGCAACAGGCACTCGCTCTTGCTCACGAAGGGCATCTCGGCATTGTCGGCACCAAACAAAATCTCCGCACGAAAGTCTGGTGGCCGGCAATGGACAAAGCAGCGGAAAAATTCTGCAAGTCGTGTCACGGATGCCAAATTGTATCGCGACCTAACCCCCCTGAACCACTTAGGTCAACCCCACTCCCGGATGGTCCGTGGCAAGATCTGGCAACCGACCTTCTTGGGCCACTTCCATCAGGACATTCTATACTAGTGTTGGTGGATTACTATAGCCGGTACTATGAATACCAGATATTGAGCTCCACCACCACAGACAAAATCGTTGACTCCCTCGAAGAGGCATTTAGCCGCCACGGCATACCATTGACCCTTAAGTCGGATAACGGTCCGCAATTCCACTCGCAAGAGTTTCGTGACTTTTGTGAGGAGAACGAAATATCCCATGTGCGAGTAACAGCCAAGTGGGCTCAAGCAAACGGTGAGGTGGAGCGACAGAATGACTCGATCATGAAACGAATCCGCATTGCGCAAGCTGCAGGTCAGGATTGGAGAAAAGAACTGCGCAAATACGTCGCGAAATACCGTGCAACCGAACACCCCGCCACAAGGAAAACTCCTGCTGAACTACTGTTTAACCGGAAAATCCGCGGCAAACTACCAGCATTCAAGCCAGACGATCACACTGATTTGGAGGTTCGTGACCATGATGCTGAAAGCAAAGCAAAAGCCAAAATGTACGCGGATACACGCCGAAATGCAAAATACTCTGATGTGCAGATTGGGGACCAAGTCCTCGTGAGGCAGGAGAAGACCAACAAACTTTCTACTCCTTTCATTCCCGACCCATTCACCGTTGTGAGTTAAACCGGCAACAGTGTGGTTGTTGCATCCCCGGAGGGAGCCCAGTACTCACGAAACACCAGCCATGTTCGGAAGTTCACGCAGAGTGCAAGTGACACAGGCATTAACACCGCCAGTGAACCTCCCATAGCGGACAGCAGTGGGAACACCATGGACCAGGCAATCAGTCCCCCAAAGACTGTAACTCATACCCCACCCGCTGTGACCCCACCGGTTGCAAAGGAGCTGCCCAGTCCATGTGCGGGCAGACCCAAGAGACAGTGTGGCATGCATCCTAAGTTTAAGGACTATATCTTGAACTAGAGTGGACTGAACTAAAGTTACTTTATATAAGTGTTGTTCATCATAAAACATGTATTTAGCATGCTTGTGTTTTGAATGAGAAAAGTTTTATAGCCTGAGTGTTCTCTAAAACAAAACAAAACGCAGTTTCATCTCATATCCGAATCTGTCCACTAGAGTTTTGATTTTGGTCATGATGCTCAATAGAAGAAAACATCCTCAATTTGTTGATAGTAAATTTCAAACCTGTGCTACCAGTAGTAGCTTGACTTGTGCATGTATACAAATCCATGAAGGTCAGACAGATGCATGTTGTTGATTATATAAGGGTTTGTAAATTCACCTAAAGTTTAATAGTTCTGTTTGGATTTAAAGTTAAAGATGTTTGTTAGTTGCTGTGATTATTGGGCAGTGGAAATTGTTATAGTTGACCTTTTGCATGTCATCCATTATTCAAGAAAACCAAAGTTTCCTTTTGAAAGGGAGGGATGTCGTGTATGCATGTGACAGGTAGCCAGTCTATTAGAGTGTGTCAAAGGTCAACTCGTGTAAGAGTTGCTATGCGCGGAGCCATGTTGAATAAACGTGTGTTACGAAGTTGTAAGCCAAACCGAGCTGGAGTTGTTGTGGTGCTATTTGCGTCCCAAGTTGTTTAAATACGAATCCGTTCCAAAGGATATAACAGGGGCCTCTGAGGGTGTATAGTGATACTGCTGTAAGGTGTGTACCACAACACATCGGAGATATATATATTTTTTGTCCAACAGGTGAGTATGGGTAAATCGAACAAAACATGTAAGTAAACTTAATTCCTACCATTCATTGTCATCAATGGGCATCTCTGTACCGACTCGGCCAATGACCCTGCTGACGTCACAGGCCACGTGATTTCGTCCACTATTTCCGACGCGCATTGACCTGCATTTTGTGACGAACATGCGAGATTCACAACACAAGTTTTTCTACGAACACCCCCTTGTCTTTTAATTAAAATTTACAACTGTTAAGTGGTTAATATTGAACCTACTGGTTTGATAATAACGACTGACTTTGAAACAATTAACAGTAATAAATACATGGCTACTATCAAATGAACAAGATAACATAGAACTACAAAATCGCATGAACGGGCAACAGATCTTGCTTATCGCGTCTGCATTTAGGGCGTCAGGCCTTATTGGGTGACAGATTTGTGTCGCCCTATTGTTAAACGACCCTTAGGACAATGAATTTTGCTGTCGCAAACTATCTAGATCGATTCCTCGTGGTCCAAAACATACCTATACCGAAATTCGTGGTGGCAGGATAAGGTAAACTTGGGTTAGGTGACATTTTAGGTTTGTGCACATGTCGATGTGAATTATAGCATATTAAAGCATTAATAATAATTATTATTGTCATTTATTATTTCCGCTATTATTACGTCCGCTTGGCAGACAATGGCTACAACTATGGATTAACCAGAATACAAAAAGGCTGAACTAGAATGAATATTGGTATCATTTTCTGGGGGGGGGGGAGTTGGGGGGTGGGGGCGGAGCGGGGTAAAATGGTAATTCAGAGAGACTTTGTTTGAGAATATAATTTGTTTTGTTAAGGTTTTATAGATATGAGAGACTCTGAAAAAGTTAAGAAACACCTTTGGAGTAATGCAAAGAGTATAGAGGTTTCAATGAAATTTGAAATAAAAAGCAGTTGTGCTTTGATAGAATTTCGGATATTTTGCTGACGTACATTGTCTTTCTTCGTGATTCATTGCTGTGTCAGTTTCCGGCAGTAAGCCAATGAACAAACCTTTCCAATAAATGTTTTGAACGAGAAACTTTAGGGTTCATGAACCCCCCAAAATGATCAGTTTCTTCGTTAAATGCCATCACAGCAACAGCGCCATCGGTTGTCCAGAAAAGCGTGGAGCATTTTTTAATGTTGAAAGAAGTGCACTTTTTTTCTGATGAACCATAAAGGGATGTCAAGCAGTTTTCATACATTTAAGAGGAGTAGAAGGTTGCACAAAATGTGTTCCTAAAAACAATCATTGCATGGCCCTTTAGTGAGCCCGATGAATATTGTAACACAATTTGATTATATTATTGTCCAAATTGCACCATTAAAATATATAGAGAGCGCTTTGGCCACAGAAATCCATAGTGGTCATGTATTACACCTGTTCTCAGGTCAGATTAATGTCTCAAAACTATTTCAGAGCTTACTTTGTTCAGCTAAAGTCTTAACCTACTCTAAACCACAATAGATATAGTATTTGGGTTTCAGTCAAACCACAGATGGAGCTCTAGTGGTAGTCTTTATTGTTTCCTCTCACATGCCTCTTTGGGTCGCCGTTACTGAATATCAATTGGAGATTAAATAAACGTTAATATACAGACCTGTAACAGTAACAGTGAATTGGCAAATGTTCACATTTCCAGATTTATCTCTTCCTTTGTACATCACCGTGGCAACCCCTACCGAGAAGGCCCCGTCACCAGTTTGGTTGCATTCACGAGGTGTAGTTGCCCGGCAAGTAAACTCCACATCGACGTCAGCATTTGAGTTATCAGAGAATGTTGGCGGTATCCAGCTGTAAGGCACCTGATTGGTTGCTGACATGACGGGAATGATGACGTCATCCGGGCAATCGTAGATCTCAGGGGGTTCGTTATCTGAGGTATTTAAAAATGCGCATAGAATAACAGTTGGTAAGATAACATTCGAAATTAACATGTTCCTAGTTTGTCCTACTTAAGCGTTCTTAAATTTACAGGGTGACCACAAAAGAGTTGTGCAAGCAGACATCTTTAAATTTCTCAAAAAGTATCCAACATCAGCATTTCATGTTAATGGCGTATGTTGTTTGTACTCTCTTGTGTATTATCACAGTCAAAATTGGATGACAATCCATGCATACAAACCAGAGAAACAGCTAATTATGTATGCCAATGTGGTTTTTTTTACCGTTCTAATGTGATTGATACAGTTAATAAAGAGACTCATTACAGAGTGCCGGTTGAGCGATGATAATACAATGTGTATTACACATTACATTGAAATTAACTTCCCATCGGATTGGTTAAAGAACACATATCCAGAGCTGTAACATATACAGCTTTGTTTTGCATGAATGGGTTATCCTGAAATTTTCACTGAATATACATAAAGAGTATAATTGACATGCTCAATCAGAATGAAATACGAATGTTAGGTACATTTTGAGAAATTTAACGATACCTGCTTGCACAACCTTTTGGGGGTCACCTTGTACTCGTTTGTTAATCTGTGCATCAACTTTGCATCGTCTGGAGAACGGAGGTGTCATTCATTTCAAATCCATCTAAAATATGTAATACCAATCTCAATTTTTCAATATGTTTGCAGGAAAGTTCGACAAATCATTGTCGGTTTAGAAAATAGGTCAATCACCAAAGATGCAAAATTTCCTGCATTACGATCGAACAGTGAGATACTTTTCCTTTGTACATATCAGTTCAGTTCTGTGTTCATCAATGAGGACACCATCGACTTTCCGTCCTTTACAAATGATCCACTACCTGATATTGACAAACACAAAAACAAAGATTAATCTATACCATATCAAAAAGGATCGTGCCCTATCGCCCAAAATGTGGACAATTTGCAAATAGAAATCAATAACACAAACTGAATTTGTGTATTTAGCAACGTCGGAAAATCACTAGGCTGATTAGTGAATTGTAAATGCGTGGGCGCCAGATACAAGTTTTTAGGTCGTCTTTAAGATTGCCGACACAACACATATACCCCTCTTTGTCGAAGGTGAGGGTGCACTTATCAATCAACAATCAAATCAGAATTGACTGCAAACTAGAGATTGGCGTTTGTTGAGTTACAAACGCAGAGTGGTCTGGCTCGCATTTTTTTCTTATTTTATAAGCTTTTCCACAATAATCAACTGAAAATGTTCGCTCGTACCCCTGCAAACAGGGCGTTGGGACACGCTGATATGAGCTTCACAGAATTGTGTAAAGGAAGTGGGGATGGCATTCTGGGTAACTTTTCATGACCCATGTACATGTATAAAGCATCTGGCTGCAGCTGTTTAAGACCACAGTTAATGCGCGCAAATGCTATCCGAAAGCCAATGCGCGCAAATGCTATCCGAAAACTTTCCCATAAAAATGCACACATTCTGTACCGGAAGGGGAGTCAGGGTGGCGTAGCGGTACTTTCCTCACCTTCCACCTCTGTGACCCAGGTTCGAATCACGCCCGGGCCTATATGTGGATTGGGTTTTCAGTCCCTGCCTGATTACGTGGGTTTTCCTCAGAACATTCCTCCGGGCTTTTCCTCCCACCTCTAAAACTGTAATTTCTTCTCATTGTCTCCTCTCTACAGGTTTCTTCAGGCTTTCGAGCTACAGTGCTTAGGGTACTTTTGAGGAATCCTTGGTTTCATTACCAGAATAAAATAAAAAATAAATAAAGATATGATTTCTTTTTCATTGCAGACCATGCGGACAAATTTCGAGGGTCGCATAATATGCAATTTGACTAAACGTGAATTCGAAACGGAGCTTGAGCAAGTGACGAGAATTAACAATTTACAAAACAGTTTTACAGATTTTCCTATATTTATTACGCTTTTCAACGACAAAAAACATTTATGAATGGGAATAGCGAGTGATGACTCAGTCTTGACGGCTGTTCAAAACCATGCAGAGTCGTGGCTGTGATGACTTGCAGGTCACAGGTCACGCGTAAGAGCGTGAATTCATCAGCGTGTCCATGCGTCCTGTTTGCAGGGCGGGGGTACGGGTACAAGCGAACTGAAAATTCATTTTAAACATTATTCAACCTGCCGCTAGAGGGCGCCATTACATTTTATGACGTCATCGTTAGTTTTACAAGCGGCCAGCGCCAGAGACTAACATCGTTGAAAGCTAGTTCACATGTTTTCCACTTTCATATTATAAGGCACTTCTGGTTTGGATCGGAAGGAAGGTTCACGTGATTTTGCACGTCATATCAAAAATGAAGACGCTGGATTATTCTATCAATTCCCGTAAAAAGCAAAACCAGATCTCTCACAGTTGATTTCATATTGAATTTCAATGACTAAATCTAGAATCATTTGGTTGCTTGTAATATGATACCTGATGATGTCATCGTGAATCATTGTCATTCAGCTCGACAGCTATGTTAACTGTGCTAGTTGAAGCAAAAATCTGGATTATATCTCTTGCTATTCATTTTTCAGCAATTTTTTTTTAAGGTTTGAAGATCGTTTCATTGCTTCCGGTCTGATGACGTCATCATTTTTTCGCACACAGGCTTTGTTTGCATAAAGATCATCATATATCATTATGGACAATGCGAAAATCACATTACAATTTAAAATCGCCTAACATGGGTTTGTTATGGGGTTATATTTTGAATAACCTAGATAGCATTTCAGCACTTATTATGATCGAGTCTACAGCACTACGGCAAATATTATACGATGTATTAACATTGGCAATACTGTATATTACTATAGGAATGTACACGGGCAACTTGAACTTACACGGATCGTATAGTTTCAGTACTCCCATTTTACATGGTGCAAGGAATGCATACACGGTCATGATCATTGTCCGGTACCACAGACCCACAGTGAAACTGTACGAATAGTACCATACTATGGTATATAGTGAAACTGTACTGAAATAGTGAAACTGTATGTATAGTACCATACTATGGTATATAGGACATAGAAGTAATGTCGTGGTTCTTTACTACGGTACCAGACCATGGCAATACCCTGGCACTGACCTATGGTATGCGCTCAAATCAAAATTAATTGTTATATTCAAGATTATGGATATCCACTTGATCCTTCATTGTTCAAAACGTTAATTAAGTTCAGATGTAAACATGTTTTTCGCGAAACATTGTTCGAATGAAACTATTTATATAGGCATAAACATAATGTCAATGCTCAAAAGGTGTTGCTTGCACTCTCATCAGCAGTAGACTGTGATGGTGTGAAGTCTGTAGAGAACGAGGTGGACGTTTTCTCTGTGGTTGACATTGACTCTAACGAAATGAGTAACACAAGTTTTGTAATTGGTTTAATACAGGCATGTAGGAATTTTCGCATCTTATCTCTAAAGTAACCTTCCGAATTTTGACCAAAAAACTTACTTGGCTTAAGATCGTACTGGTACGAAACACCAATCAATTACAGATGAGATCCGTAGGCCTGTAATAGCAGCTCCGTAAATTACAAGACTCAACAACACTTACCACACCCATCTGTAACAAATCGATCGGCCAGGGTGCCTTTGGTTCTTCTGGAACAAGCTAACTCAAGAAATCCGCCAGTCTGACTCAGTGACAACATTTCGAAAACGTTTGAAGACAGAACTATTCAGAGCTCATTAATTCATTATTTTTTTAAATTTTTTTTTTAGTCAAGCACCTTGATCTAGCTTTTAGTTGTTTAGGATATGTGCGTTTTATAAGAACCTGCTATTAATATTATTATTATTAGACATTGCAACTTTAACACAGTGTGGGATTGGGCTATAGGCCCCAATTGAACGAAGTAATTTGTTGTCAGTAGGTTGCACTCAAGCAAGTGATGTGCTGTAGACCAAATCGTGTTTTATTACTAAAATTGTGTTTATATTTACATTTACATTACTGAATGTCTGTATGATATTTCCTAACCTACGAATACAGACGCTGTTGTTGCCTCTTCTGTCGGTTCTGGAGAAATGGTTTCTATAGATGAAGACGGGACTTCTGTCGTCGGTGCTAATTCTGAATGACCAAAAAAAAAAAGATTGTAAGGGCTGCAGTAGTGTAAATGTGTGTCCATAAGTTGGGGGTGGGGTAAGAACGAACAAATTGAAACTCCCTAGACTGCAAATAAAAAAGTTGGGTTGAGCTAGCGCTAGGCACCCATTATTGAAATAAACTAGTTTATTATACAGTAGGCCAAACTAATTACATGTATACTTTATCTTCAAGCAAACTTGAATTCTTGATGCTGATTAGTCGATCCATGACAACAAACTGTGCTACATTACTAAGCGTATCGCTCTATTCTAAAATAGCATCCACATTTACCAATCAACAGCTTAGTCCACATTTCTGATCGAAATGACGTCACAGTTTCTAAAATCGACTTCGATTTGCCGGCTCGCATAACATTTACATGTCAGGATATATCAGGCGTTCGACCGTGGCTCTGCACACGTGATGTTTGATCTTTAGACTACTCTTTTAGTGATGCTAAAACAGAGCAGTTGAACACTAATATCATCTTTTAGTTTATTCCTGAATTTCAGCTTAATTTTGTTGTTGCAAACGCTATCCTTACCCCTTGAACTAAGACAATCTCCAAGGCAAATTTCGCTAGACCGGGATTTTTGCCGACCAAAACTACACGTAGTTTTCAGGTTGGCAGATTTTGCCGCAACACTGACGAGGCGCATTATTAGCATATTCATTAGCGTGATTCGGTTTTACTTCGCGTGGGTCTCGGTATCGACCGATGGAAGTTGAGGAAAAGGCTGATATTTATCAATTAATATGTTGTGAAAGAGGCAATAGTGCGAAATTTTACTACACACCATTATGGATAGGAACCTTATAAATATTCGTGAGGCTTGAACAGATTGACAGATATTGCAAAACACTATTTGTTACAGCTTTGAAAAATGGTTGTACCGACGCCTTTTTTTTCCAATTTCAAAAAAAAAATACTGAACATATCAAAAATCACATAGTTGCATCATTTTAAGACAAACAAACCCTGAAAGTTGCATGAAGATACGGTCTTTCAAACGGGAGAAATTTGTTTCCAACAGGTCTGTGTGCAGCTTGATTCATTTAAAATAAAGTTTTTCATAACCTTTACAAATCCGCCTCCGTTATGATGTATTAGTGGTTGACAGATAGAATTATGTAGCAGGCGTATTATCCCTAAAGAAGAACTATAGAATCGACAGTATAGTTTCAAAATCAAGGCAGGTGTAATCCCATCACATGATCAAAGAAAAAAATAGACCTGAGACATATACATCACGCTTTGTCTACAGGTGCGCCTTCCAATCATATAGAAAGCGCACATTCACACATGTGCTATTATGTGAAACACATGTTATGTCGATATAAATCAGCGTAAAAATACAATATATCATACAGCAGTCAGGTGTAAAATCAAATACCAACCTGGTGGTGAACCGTTGTACAGTGTGACAGCAATCCATCCAGAAGAAACATTACATGGGGCAAGACCTGTCACTAGATCCTCACCCATTATAATGGTAAACACTCCGTTACCATCAAGATCATATTGATCGAAATTCAAGCGACAGCTAGCTGTTTCTATTGTGTCTTGAGCCGTCTGAACAATATTACAGGTCTGAGCAGACTGCCAGGCACGTCTTCTGTAAATGTAAAGCCCTCTCCGACTCTGAGTCAACGTGACCTTCATGAATAGTTGGAAACAAACAAAAAATCGACTGTACTGGAAAATGCTCGATTCTAGTTATAAAACGTAAAAGTGTTTTGTTTATACACAAACCCATTTATATTGAATGATTGGTAATTAATCACTTTGACTTATTCAATTCATAAATTGTATAACTTTCCAACGTAAGGATTATAAGATACAGCGATAGTTGGAGCATGTTAATCGTTGAAAATGTATTGAAAAGTGACCTTCAAAATTATCATAAAATAGTATACAAGTTGTAATTTTATAAGGACAAATTGGTTGGGAGGATTGTTTGAAAGAAAATAGGATATCAACGAAAATAAAAATAAAAATCACGTTTTCTTGTCATCGGTTCTTTTAATTGGAACCAAAAACATTATGGAAATTCCATCAACAGCCACAATTGCAGTATCCACTTCTATTGTTGCACTGGTAATTAAGCTAGTGGCACACAGGCGAGCATGTAGTTCTTTCTCACCAACTCTGTATATGTATACTATTCTTCTAAAATTGCGAAGGGTTACACCAATTTCTTTTAATTTTACATCCCCAAATTTTGCAAACAAAAGTGAAATGGTACATGCAATCTCAGTTTATACTAACCTCCTGATCATATTTGAGGATCAGTTTATCCAAACTGTCTGAAGAATAAAATCCTTCAGCTGGCCAAGACTGAATGATAGTGGGACGTTCTGCAAAAAAAAAAGTTTGACCACACATAATATGTATGTTCAATTCACACGCAACCAGTTTCCCTTAACACCTTATCTTTGCACGGGCCTCGTGTGTATGGAATGGACATGATCAGTTTATAAAATCACAGTCCTCTGTGGGCCGATTCAAAATCAGTTTCAAGAACCATTCCAATATTTAGCATTGTATCTTTCTCTTTCTACATTATGACCAGCGTTTTACCCCTTAAATGCCCCTATAAGTTTCGGGTTTTGATATCATGTCTCATCGTTGTATAACAATCTATTGTTCTCGTGGTTCTTTAACCTTGGTTTGATGGGAACATATATACCAAGGATAAAACGTAACGCACACACCTGTAACTAGCAATTTTGTTCCCCTGTGATACGCATGAGTAGTCTTCATATCGCACCTTCCTTATGTCTGATGAATGGAAATAGACCTTTTATCATGCTGCCACCATTTCAGTCATATTCTCTGTATCCAATCACAGTACTGAATTATAATTTTGGTTGTGCAAACTATTTTTCCTTCCAGCCTCGCTTTGGTTACGTTGATTTGAATGGGGGAAAAATCAAGATGGCCGCAACATGATAATGGTCTATAACAAAAGCTGTCCACTGTGAGCGCGCTCTATGCCAGCTTATATTCCTACAAGCAGCTGTATCTCACCTGTGTCAGAGCAACTTGATGGAGGCGCTGGGGTCGTGTAGTACGGAGTCTCATGATATCCTATACAAATATAAGTATTTTTAGCAAAAGCATCACCTAAATATAAAATTGTATGCCATGATAATTATTAAAAAAATATATATACACTCAGATGTTAGGAACTCGATTTTGAAAACTAGAAATCGTGGACAAAATCAGATCAAACCAAAAATTAGAGGAACTGATTTTGGGTAGCGCGAGTGGGGGACACATAGAAACCCTCTTCTCGGGAAAAGTGAGTCAATAATTAAACCTCGTTTAATTTACATGGATCTGGAAACTTATTCCATAACTATATCATGAATATAAATAATGAATTCTTCGTCAATTCATTCTTGTCATAAATACACCGGTTAGCCTATACGTCTTTAATTGGTGTTCTTACGATTTGGCAAGGGAGAGTGTAATACTTTGTAGAAATTGGTGTCTGTAACAGCAGCTGACGGAGCATAACGTGGCCCAGGACCAGTTACCACACCCTCATCCAACAGCACATGATACACTTGCCCTGCAGCTAGCAGTCCTTTCAATGTCGCAGGGACAACAACTTGCATTGTGTCTGGGGCAGGAAAGTGAACGTTGTCATCAGCGGAGGCGTCAATTGAAAATACCCGAGGACCGATGCGGTAGTAAACCTTGACAAAAGCAGGTCTACTCGGCCTAGATACCTGCGTGCGATTTTTACAATATGGATAAGAACAAAAGTCACTTATCATCTCCCTTTATACACTTATTCGGCGTACATACGTTGGCAAGTCGTCACTTTTCAATGTTAAGTAACTGTTATATCATGTGCTTGGACACTGTAGTTTCGTTGGTGTAGGACGGCCACGTGTCTGGGGTCGTATTCAGAAAACGACTTAAGTCCCCAAAAAAGTAAGCACCCCACTTAATTATGCGACTTAGACGGGTCTTAAAATTTAAGCAATATTCACAAAAGGTTTTCGTTGAGTGCCCCTCGTATTTTCATGACTTAAATCTAAGTCAAGTGGCGCACTAGAATTTCATGGCGGCTTTATTTCTTTCCGTTGGTTTGTATTTTTTAAGGCTCAACGTTTGACTTTCTAGGGGTCAAGGGAAATCTCGTCAATATCGATTATTGTAAATGGGAAGCTAAGCTGAAACCCTAGGATTGTAGGTCGCGACATTCTAACACTTATTTTCGATCGATTTGTTGATTTTTAGACGGGTGGCGCGAGTGCAATTGACGACGCAACAACTACGTCGCAGAATACGCGCACGCGTGATTAAGTTAAGGAAACACGCACACCTTGATTGAACTGCCGCCTGCGTAGGAATGTTTATGACGTAAATGTTTTGCGCATGAGCAAAAGTGATTGCTTGGAACACTTAACTTTAGCTGAGCAATAGGATAGGTAGGGTGCTTAGATCTTTCGCGAATACCATAGACATATAATAAAACCTAGACACGTCATTATCCGCTTTTACGTTGTGGTTTCTGTGAGCAAAACGGGCTGCGTCACGCGGCCTGGACGATGTGGACGCACTTGTGCACCACTTAGTTGTTTTGTTTCCATAGAGCTATATTAAATTCCTAGAGCGCTATCTCGCCATTCTGCGCGCGGAGACTTTTTGTCGGTATCTTAACAATGCGCGCACACTGTATGTACATTGTACAACACGCGTATTATACGTACATGTACACGTGTGGGCATGTATTAAAGAGTATGCGCATACATGTGCATACATGCGGAGCAAAAGTTTGCAATTCCGACTTGATCAATCTGCCATCAGCACCCCCCTCGCGTGTACGCGCATGTATTCATCGATGCATGCAACACCGTCCCCAGCCTCGACTCCAGGGGCGCGTGCTCGTTCCTTACACTAACCCCTGGCTGTGATGATGATGTAAATGACGCTGAATGGCTATTCACAGCGTACTGCGCGGGCGTTTCGAAGATTGCACGCCGGGCGCGCCCATAATGCGCTCGCGTGCTTAGCTTTGCACGTAACGTCACGTACGAAAAAAAATAATATGATTCTAAAGTCGCGATGCCTGTACGCTATGGATTATGTCAGCCGGGTTTTTCGCTAAAAAAACCCCCTGTATCTGTGGTTGTAAAGGCGCAAAAGGGGTACGTACATTTTATACAAATCTTTGCTAATTAACACAACGTCCAAACGTAGTGTTTGAAAGGATTGATTCTTCAAAATCACAACTTTTAACATTTTAAAGATGGCGTCGGCACGTAAAACGGAAAAACTGCAGCCCTAATTATAATGTACCGTATTTTGGTATATTTAAATTACACAATTCCAGAGGTTACGATCGCGCAAGGCATGATGGGAAACAAGATCGTTGCAAGATCGTACCCACGGGGCACGAGGTTGCACCGTCCATATGTATATGCAGCATGCAGCAACATCGCTCGGCCAATCAAAATAACCAAATTTTGAAGACTCGTTTATTATTTTCAGAAGGTATGAAAGGACGGATAACAATCTGCAAAAGTTTTAAAATGTCATCTTAATTTGTAGATTTCAAACATATAATATTTGGATGATAATGCTAAGACCAGCTGCTCTTAAATTTAACTTATAAAGGACACGACATTCAAATGTTATTTAAAACAAAGGGGAATCTTTATTGGGGTTAACCTGTAAAAGATGTTAAGATCCATAGCGCCACGTGTTGTGCGTAAATAGAGCCGTTTCAAACATAGATATAGAATAAAAAGACTAGATCGGCGGCGCATGAATACGCGCCATAGAGTGTGCACAAATTTTCCCGTTCCATAGATATAGAATAAAACGACTATTCTATATCTATGGAACGGAAAAATGTGTGCACACTCTATGGCGCGTATTCAAGCGCTGCCGATCTAGTATCTATGTCCCGTTCCATTTTGGTTGTTTCTTGAGGGGGCACTTTACTGTTAGAGGGGGCACATTTATGGCCGCAAAAGGGGAACTTGGGAAAATCTGGGGGGCAAACGCCCCCCCCCCCAGCCCCCCCCCCGGTTCCGCCGTACCTGCCCATTTTGAATTTTGTTGGAGGAATAACTACTTCAGGTCAAAAATATATCTTTCCATACAAACCTACGGAAAAAAAGGTGCGTGTATCGCAACGTTTGCCCCACGCGCTGACAACTGGCGCCGTCCATGGCAGAACGCGCGTCTGTACGCACTGCCGATCTAGTCTTTTTTATTCTATATCTATGGTTTCAAAGCATTCGAACGTACGCGTGCGTGTGTCTGTTTCTACCATAGATATAGAAGTCTTTTTTATTCTATATCTATGGTTTCTCCTCTTCACCATGGAATGCGTGTGCGTTTTCAGCGGAACTTTGGCTGCGCACATACGCAGATAAGGCTGAGTGCGTGTTAGAAATAATATCAAAACAACATGGGCGAGTTTTTAAGAATAAAAACGCCAATCACCTGCAATACTGTGCTCTAATTGGCTTCTACCCGAATGGGAAGAAGCCAATCACAGCGAAAATTAATTTCCATAGACTGTGTACAAACGTTGAACAAACCAGGGCGTGTGCTTGACAGATTGACAGAGTCGGGGTTGCTGCAACACATAAAAATAACATGTACATGTACTTTTTAAAATGTTGGTCTTGATTTGACGCATGAGGGCGCGTTATGGTGCGGCGTGTAAAAGTGCATAGACATTATGTACAGTGGTACAGTCCAAGATTTTATTATATATCTATTGGTACAGTGTACGTACGTATGCGCCATGCGCACATTGAGATACAGAACAAGCGCAACCCAGACTTGGCCAAGTCTAACACTTAGGGTGATATCGCACTGTGTTCATTGCGCGCGTTGTGCGCGCGTGTGGAACCTGCCGGCGCGCTAGCTTTGCACAATGAGAACTGCAGCGTCAAATGCCCAGTCTTAGGCTGTGTCCGAAACGGGCGTCTAGGGCTATTGTCTAATGTCTACGTCTACAGCTACGGCTCGACGCGTTCAGGCCGATTGGAATTCGGACAAAGCTACGGTCTAGGTTTGCGCCCTCAAGCGACGACTTAACGTTATGTGGTAATTATCGTCCGTTGCTACGCGCCCTCGTGATTATCGTCTGCTGCTGATTGCGCAATGCTTGTTTACAACCGAGAGAATGATTCCATTCAGTAGACTAGTATGATCGCTAATGATGATGCCGTTATTAATTTAATAGCTGCTATTCAATTCTTTGTTGTCCTAAATAATCAGAAATTACTTCAAATCCAGCAAAGAAGAGCTTTCATCCTCCAAGTTCTGAATGTTCTCACACCAGCAGAAAACGTAAGTGAATTAGCCATGTGTGATAATTAATGTGATGAAATCTCAAAAAGAAATTAAGTTCAGTTCAGTTGACTTTATTTTCTACATAATTATTGAGGATAACAGCGGATATGGTTAGGTTTAGTTAATATTAAATTACATAGAATTGAAACGTGTACTTTATCTAAAGGTTTTCATTGGTGTGGAGGGGGTCCATAAAAAGCAAAGCTAAAATTTAAGTGTAAAGAGCAAGGGCGTACATCCGTGTTGAAAAGTGGGGGATGATCCAAAAATTTTGTATAAATTGCCAGCGTACGTACACAATAAGACAGTTATCTTGAACGTACATGATAAGAGTGGGATTTTTGTTTTTATTCATGTGGCAGCACTACACTTTTGCATTAGACCTATAGGGTATGGTAAAGACATGAAAGAGTGCACATCATTATCTTTAGACAAGATATTCACATTAAGTAGTAAAAAAATAAGCACATTTGTCACCACTTCTGGGGGTGGGTAATCCTATGGGCCACCCCCCCCTCCAAAACGTGAGGGTGGGATCCCCCCCCCCTTCCTCCCCGGGATTTGCACCTATGGTAAATAACAACTGTGTTGTCATTCTGTTTTATCAAACTTTCAAAATTTCAGAATCTTCCAAGAGAGCCTTATTGTAGACTCAGAGTCCATTTGTTGCTAGATTTGCTGAGGGAGCCACTGCAACTGAAAAAACACTGTCGAGTAACACAGGCCACCTTCCTCAAACTTCTGACAGTGATCTCTACAGAAAGTCACCACGGCTGGGATGAAGACATTCAACTTCTGTGCTTCCTGTTTTGGCTTGCATGTGGATCAGCTTATAGGGTCGTCTCCGCAGCAACAGGTATTCCCAGGTCAAGCATCTGTGATATAGTTCACAAGGTCTTGAAGCGAGTGTTGAATGGCATCAAAACAATAATTAAACTGCCACAGCAAGATGACATCCCTGTAATTTCCAGGGGGTTTTGTCGATTGGCAAACACGGATTATATTTCTATGGCTGCAGGTAGCATAGATGGAACCCACATCAAGATCATGCCCCCTGACTCTAGACGAGAGGACTACATAAATCATAAACTGTTTTACTCCATCAATTTGCAAGCAGTCTGTGATCACAGAGGAGTATTCCTAGATGTATTTGCTGGATATCCAGGTTCTGTCCATGATTCAAGGGTTCTTAAATGCAGCCCGTTATACCGCCAGAGAGATTATCCCCCTGAAGGATACTACTTACTTGGAGATACGGCATATCCATGTCAATCCAGACCTCTAGCTATTCTCACTCCCTACAAGGCTCCTGCCTCTCCAATACAAGGAAGATACAACTACCACTGTAGCAGGGCTAGAACAGTCATTGAGAGGGCTTTCGGTCGGATGAAGACGAGATGGAGGAGCATTTTCACAAAGACACTTGAAGTAAGAACATGGACTTGACAAGGGTATAAAAAATGTAGACAGATGCCGCTACATGTATTAATTGTTTTTGTGCATACATTTCAAAGATTTAGTTGATTTGGTATCAACTGGGCTGGGCAATACTTGGATCATCTTAAGACAAACTTTTTCGTACCCACCAATGTCAGGCATGGCCCATCTCTCAACAGTTTCAAAAAGCATTATAAAAACTTTTTGTTTTTAACAACCGCCCCACAAGGGCGGATCCAGAACACAATTTTTTGGGGGGCCAAAAAAAAAATTTTGGTCCCCCCAAAAAGTGGGTCAAAAAATTACGGCGTGGGGGTTCAGGGCCCGCTTTAATAAGGGCTCCGAAATTTTTTTAGATTCTAGATGCTCTGGGGTGCGATCTGAGGCAATTTCTGACCACTTTAACCAACGTTTTTTTGAGGAAAAGATGGTGGTGTACTCATTGCCTGCCTTTATTGCGATGTCATATAAAAAAAAAATTGGTTTTTTTTTTTTTGGGGGGGGGGGCCATGGCCCCCTTTGGCCCCCCCCTGGATCCGCCCTTGCCGCCCCAGCCCCCACACCCCCAAGCATTCAACGCTTTCATCTCTCTTTTTTTATCAAAATGATTTAAAAATAAATTGAATTACTATTTGTGTCATTTTAGATTTCTCCTGTTCTGGCACCAAAAGTTGCTGTTGCATGTGCGATTATGCATAATGTGTGTGTTCTATCGTGTGATGAGTGGGCAGAGGAAGCAGACGATGATGAGGATGATCCTCCCAATGAACAACCTGCTATGGAGCCAGATGACCTCGAGAGGGGACATGTATCTGCTGAACCACTCAGACGGCATATTGCTGCACAAATATCTGCACCATTAGACATAGTTCAGGAACTTCATGAGCATGACTATCTGTAAGCATTGAGAAAAGGGTGTTTGTTCTATTGCCATTTCTATCAAATCGCTGACAAGTAGGCCTGCATAAGATTCCCCTTTTAAAAAGCTATAGTTGTATTATTTGTCGTTCCATTTTAAGTCCATTAACAAGGGAGTATGGTGCTACATGTATATAGGACATAACAACATCATTATATACTTCAAGTTCACATAACATTTGTGTTTATTTATATTACATGTCTTAAATAACATAAACAACATTTTGAGAATAAATAATTATTGCAAATGCCCAGTATAATCCTTAAATAACATGAACAACATTTTGAGAATAAATAATTATTGAAAATGCCCAGTATAATGCTTAATGCCAAGTATAGTTATTAATAAGGGAAAAAAATGAGTGGCGATGAGTTCTTAAACAGCCGTTTAAAACCGGCAGGGTCGTGGCCGTGTGATAAAGGACCAAGCCGAACCGGGCCCTGCAAGGTCTTAAACGGCCGTTTAAAAATGAGTCACTACTCTTTTATTCCCAATCATAAATTCCCTTTTGGTTAAAAGGCATAATAAAGTAGGAAACTCTGTAAAACTTATGTTTTCCAATGTTCTCGAGCTCTGTTACGTGATGGTGCATTTTTATGAGACAGTTTTCGGATAGCATTTGTGCGCATAGTAACAAATCCTCGCATCCATGGGCTAACCCGCACAAATGCTATCCGAAACTGGTTAAAAACAGCTCCAGCTGTGCCTTTATCAACCGTTAAAACACCCCCACCTGACATGCTCTCCACCAATAGGAATATTGAAACTGTCTGGAGTATTTATAAATTACTTATTAACCCTGCGATGCATGACCAAAAACAAATGCTATTGCCACACCACAATCTATATTTTCCAGACAAGTCATTTATATTTTCAAGAGGGCTTTTTCTGTTTCAAAACCCTGATAGATCCAAGGCTTGCTTTTAAAAATAAATATATTAGCTGGTCTTGAAAGTACATTGTATAGATAACTGCTGTTTAAAATACTACACTAACAGGCTTTCAAACTGTTTTTTTTGTAAATACGTAACATTTTAATGTGTAAATATGTTGTCATTCTTCCCCCCACCTTTTTCGAATTTTAATAGATGACAATTTTAACAATTAAAGAGCATCTCTTAGGTAAAATTACGTTTTGTGATTGACTTATTTCCCAATGAACAGAGCCCTTAACAAAATGTGACAAATTACAGGCCTCTAACCTTACATAAAAGTGGTAAAAACTGTAAATTTATTTGATATAATTTCAGTGTGAAACCTTATCGCACAATGACGTCACGTTGTAAACAAACATGAGAAGTGGGTCTGTATATACCCTGTACGGGGAATGGGTATATTTATAGTGCATGAATTTCCATAATGCTCAATCGAATTGGCATTGAAAAAAATTGTGTTGAAAATTTGTATGAAGTCTTACAGACCCACTTATGTTTGTTCACAATGTGACATCACTGTGTTAAAATATTTTGCACTGAAATGGTATCAAATAAAATTTCAATTTACAACACTTTCATGGAAGGCTAGATGCTTGTAATTTTGTACACATTTTATTAAGGGTTCTATCTATTTGAAAATGAGTGTATCACAAAACTTAGTTTGACCTTAGAGGTGCTCTATTCATTTGGCAGAACATTTTTTAAAATGGAATAAATGAACATTAAAAATGGAATAAATAAACATTCAAATTCGACAATTGAAGCCCACTATTGTGCCAAATAATTTTACAGTGTATTTGGGTGGGGCTGTGGTACCAAACAAATGTTGTCCACCCAACCCACAAAACCAATTGAAACTGTTTGAATCATAACCAAATTTGACATAAGTTTTGTGACAGGCAGCATGAAAAGCCAAAACTGTAAATCACTTTTCATGGGCTTTGGTTTCAACTGCGGTAACAAGACGCCCCAGGAGGCCAATAAGAGCATCATTTTGTTTTTGTATCTGTTCTTCTTGACTGCGCAAAAGACAGTTTTGCTGTTTAATCATCTCGATAACTTCATCGCTGGCATTCTTTCTCTTCTTGGACGGAGGACTAGATACTTTACTTTGCTCTTCGACTGAAGTGGATGCAGCCTGCTCCTCTGGAAATGTCTCCAAAGAAGAGACAAGACAGGGTGGAGTAATGATAGGTCTTCCCCCCTAAAACTTTGTCCATATCTTGGAAATATGACCAGGATACTGGTGTGTCTTCACCCTCCTCAGTTCCTGTTCCAGTCGGTGGGTGCTTCAGTTCCTGTGCACAAAAGCGAGAAGTTTAACTTATTATCCAAATCATAAAATTCACTTCAATAGGAAAAAAATCGCAATATTTTACTTTGCATATCTTGTGGGTTTTGGATGTCTATTATTATAAGTGCAATAGGAAAGATTTCCATCTACGAAGTTCACTCAACACCCTGTGTACAAACCCTATGAGATTGGACTGAAAAATTCTAAGTGCTTTCTAAGAAGTGCTTGTATTTTCTCACTGCTGAAATTGACTTTGATGACATGAAATTGCTATCTGGGGGCTTGTTAGTCAATACAGAGGAAAATTAGTGAACTTCGTATATGGAAATCTTTCCGTGCAATATGTGTTTCAAATCAAATGGAAGATACTTCAAGATAACAAAAGAGGGAAAATACCTTATACTTCTGGGACAAGTTGGTCCACTTTTTGCGAGCTTGCTCTGGAGTTACCTTGTCCAGAAGATCCATCTCTTTCAGTATTATTCTGTATAACATGAAAATGCAAATATAAACTTAAAGGACCGTCAATATTGAACTATCACTCGGCCACAACCCTGCCAGTTTTTAAACTGTCATGTAAGACCTTGTCACCATTCTTTTATTCTCTTATTCAAGGTGTTGTCAGAACTTCAGAGAAAAAGCAGGTATACAATGCACAGATGTGCATTTTGGAGGAAACTGCCTTGGGTACGAATATCTGTACAGTGTGTTGCAGGTTTCCATTGACTATGGTACACAAATGTAGTAAAACCAAGAAAAAAGAGGAAATCAGATGATCCATAGAAGAGTAGCATGCCTGGATGCACATGTTTAAACATAATGATTTGAAACCAGTATTGAACAAATTAGGTTTCAACATGTTCACGTTCATGTGAAACTGTCCCAGGTACATGTATATGATAATTTTTAATTCTTTCAAGATTCTAAACCCAATCTTAAAAACTTACGTGAAAGCATCACGGGAAGCCCCTCGCTTGCCACTTTTGAATTTCATGTTGTGCTTATCACGCATCTGAATAAACAGTCGGCACTCATCTTCAGTCCCTATTATAATTGAAAAGAATTTTACACCAATTGTAATAAGACGTTTTGTCCACACATTCATATCTTTATTTGTATAGGCCAGGGGAACCTGTCAGTACTTCAGTAAAGCCGCCCCCCCCCAAAAAAAAAAACACACCAAAAAACAACAGCAGCAGCAGCAACAACAACAAGCAAACAAACAAACAAACACCCCCCCCCCAAAAAAAAAAAGAAAGAAGAAAAAACAAGAAAAAAACTTAGGGGGCCTACTTCCCTTTAACCATAACCATTTTCTTCCTCCCTCCATTCCTACAAATTAACTTGTTAAAAATATATAATAAAATGAATTTGAGTCAACTCGTACCCTTGCCAACTTGTGCTCAACCAACTCGTACTCCAACCAACTCGTGCTCAACCAACTCGAACTCTAACTTGTGCTCGTTTATGATTTGCACGCTGAATCGCGCTCCGTGAAGTGATGAGCTTCAATCTCATAAACTCTTTTAGTTATTTTATTCAAGTATTATTTTTTATCAGTATTTGATTTGATTTTGATTTGATTTTTTTCTGTTGAATTTATTACTTAATTAACCCTATCTGTCGCAGCCCTGCCAAACACCAACGTTTGGGTTTTGCTTGGCTGTGTACAGTACCAGTATAAAAACTGTACATGGGGCACAGCTGTACATGGCTAATCAGATGGGGTAAAGTATAATATCTAAAATTGTTTGGTTTGAATTTCTCCCTCCCCCACGTCTATTTAACAGAAAAGTCTGCTTTATTTTTATTTAGGCCTATTTATAATTTAAAAAAGTATTTTCAGGGCAATACTCGCATATATTGCATACATTGCATACATTTTAAAATAATCAAGGTATTCAATAAGAAAAAATACATCAAATGAAAATACAAAAACACCAAAAATAATATACAAGCACGAAATTGTCAGAGTACGAGTTGGCGCGAGCACGAGTTGACCTAAATGAGTACCAGTTGGTTGGAGTAAGAGTTGGTTAGAGTACGAGTTGACCTGTTTCCAATAAAATCTGGGAATGTTATCCATCATGTCCATGGTGTTTTCTGGCACACCATGGAGGAAGAACCATTTTGTACTTCTCGCTATATTTATTTCAAGTTACTGACAATTCTTGTACACAATTTAAATGTCATAAATAGTAAAACGGGCAGATAGCCCCATAAATCATGTAAATAGGGCCTAGTGCCAATAAGTGCTGGCTCATTTTTCATGAAATTCTAGGGAGAAATATGCCAGCAATACAGACATTAAAAAAACCCTCTAATTTCAACTTGAATTTTACAAAAGTAACCAGCACATTTTTGTTAACAGCATAGCCTGAATTGTGCTGTGGATAAGTAAACATTTCCCCCAAAAAAGGCAAAAAAAAAATGAATTGGCCCTTGTGGGTTTAATTTTCAGAAAATCTCTTTCTTTTTGGTGCAAAAGGATTAGGGCCACGGAGCAGAGGTAGTCTAGCGTATTGACACTATTTATGAGGCTAGGGCAGATCCAGATATTTTTGCATCAGTGGCACAGGCTTTCTACATCATCATGTAAATTCTGACATTCAAATTTCAATAATTATGTAGGCCTAGCCTAGGCCTAGAGACTAAAGAGAGACATGATACTACGCATTCAATATCGTGTAAACACATCGCCGGGGCCGGGCCGGCTTATTGCGACTGTTTATCACTGAATTTCACTCACAGTAACAACAAGAGGTGGACCAGAAGTTAAAACGTTTCTTTTCATCAAAGGAAACAGGTTCATTTGACCAAAAACTTACATTTGTGAGTCTCGTTGACACAAACACTCCCACCAGCAGCAGTGCGACCAGCTGTTTCCGTCTCGGTCATGTCGGTCGCCATTTTGTTTAGAAATTTAGCGCCAATGTAGACAACAAAATTCACGGCTAGATTTTGATGACGTTGTAGCCATAACCGTAGCGCTAGACGTCATTTCGGACACGACTTCAAAATGGCCGATGCTGACAATAGCCCTAGACGTAGCCCTAGACGCCCGTTTCGGACACAGCCTTAGTCCGGCAGGACATCAAAACCTTCAGTTATCAAAGGTTACATCGCAATGATTCAATTTATTTCTCATACAGTAGTTTATACAACCATTTATCTTTTAAAGTTTTTGGTACGCTATAACAAAACATTTGTTCAGTGAGAACGTGTCTCGGACGCTGAATTCAGGCCCAATTTAACACATGATTCAGCAACTTTTGATTTGAAATCGGGATCCTAAAATATTGTTTTTCTCGAAATATACAGCTAAAGCTGAGCTGAAACTTCATCAGGTTGGTTGTTCAGCACCCTTCTTTAGATTTGGAGCAATTTTGTTGCTTCAAACGAACAGAATGCACAAATTACAAATGATGGACTATACCTTTAAAAGAAATATGTAAGTTGTGCGCGATCGCGTGCAGATATGACATTTCGATGAAATTACGTCCCATCATGCAACTGGATCCTGAGCAGGTTGCCCCCAATTTGAAGGTGGAAATAACTTTGAATAACAGCTTACTGACGCATGATGTACACGTTGCTATATCAATAGTACTCTTTTCCACATTCTTACAATTTTGTACATGCTTGAATAAAGGTGATATTTGTTTCTATCCAGAATATGCTGTCATGCATCACAGCGCCCTTTCCACTCGAACATGTGGCCTATAAGACGGACCAGTGTTCATACTCACGTTTTGGTTGAATTTGAAATGAAAGATCCATGTGGCCGACCATGGAATTCTGGTGACTGCTGGATCGGGCCAGGTCTCAACAATGACAGGAGGAGATGCTAGACCAATATCAATAAAAAAAAATTATAGAAAAGAATTGGTGGGCATGTTAAATAGTGCAGTGGTTGTGGTAGGCTGAGGGAAAGCAGGGGTTTGACAAAAACTATGTGGTCTGTTTGATTGATTTGCCATTGGAAAATGGTGGATTTTTTTTGGGAGGAATATATCAACAATAAACAAGAAAAGGTTATGTAATAGAAAAAGGTACATACTATAACCTTTTTTGCCAGAATAGAACTGTAGAATAAAATTATTGAATTGCCACTTGGGCACTCACCACGCCTTGTTCGGTTATTTTGCTTGAAAAACATAACTTAAAAAAGGAATAAAGCTAGAAATGTGTTGTCATGTGGACAAAAACAGCTGTTTCGGCTGTTTCAAAAAATCTGTAGCATGTGATGACGTCACATCCATGTGATGATGACACAGTGGTGTCACTTAAAAGTTCATTTATTAGTCATCCTGTTCAATACGTAACTATGAAATTACAATCAAATTGGACATAGAGTTCTGTATATATAGATATTTCAAAATACACCTCTAATATGACGTCGTCTTTGTCTGTGCCAGGTTTTAGGATTATCTGAATGCAGAAAATGTGGAATTGTGTACGTAGAAGAATATATAACAATAACAGATTAAATGATGACATCATTGTATATCGTCGCTTCATAATTTGTGTACTAGTATATTTATCTAACTTCACACCTACGTTGATGAATTACCCCTAATATCTATTTTTTTCAAATCGATTTGTTTTTATGACGTCGTGATGACGTCGAACAGTTTATTCACCAAATTATGTGCGAATTTCTATAACCTATGAGACCAATTGCAAAAGAATTACGAATTTAGCATTTTAGTTAGCAAGAAATATGTTAATTCGTCAACAACTTTACAATTCATATAAAACCACACGATGACGTCAACGTGACGTCACGTCAATTTTCACCTATGTTCCCCAGAAGTTTCAACCCGATTGGACGTGACATAAACCTCTCGTTGGGTGATCGTGCACAACGGGATCGCCGCTTTAGATTTGTTCGATTAAATCTTTGTTTCTTTCTTTCCATTTTTGTTTTCAGGACTCGAATTCTCCGTGGATTTTCTTCTCGAGGGTTTATGATATAAACTTGTAAATTTGAACAGACATTATCCGTGATCCAAAGGTGTGCATATTTGCTTGAACGTCTTTCACCTATAACTCTTGAACAACTCTTTTCCACATCTTCCTTGTAGAAAAGCCTTATTTGTTTTTCTTATTGTTTCTTTTTTTTCTTGTTCTATCCCAAATCCCATGGAATTTGAACATGAAGTTTCAAAGTGGCACTTTGGACATTTTACATGTTGAGATCTCGATCAAACTTACACAATCAAAGACCATATAGCAAAGATTGGTCGCGTAGATGGACGTAATGATGACGTTATCAAGTTGTTTTATTGATTTATCTTTTTTTTAAATCTCATCCGCATATCTAACAAACAAAACATGCTCGAGTCTAGCATTTTGAAAAAAGTGTGTGACGCCATCATGACATCATCAACAATACGATTTTAAATGCATAAAAGAAAAGGTTCGATTGTTATGAAACTTGATGGGTAAGCAGATACTATAACTAGTATGCAATTTCCCAAGTGATGTCGGGATGACGTCATCAACAGAATTTTGTATTAATTTTTCCAGCTTTTCTACACTTTTTCTACTAGCAATTTTTGACATAACCAGCAATTTGATTGACTTTAAAATCTAGGTACAGAAAAAGATCCTGTTATGTTGGTCCTAAATACATGGCATCATGATGAAGTCACCAAGGGTCATGTGATGTCATCAAGAAGGTGCATAATTTAAAGACCTATATCTAGAGAACTACAAGTCTGATTGGGTTGAAACTCGTATGTTCATAAACATGGGATGTTATGGATGACAATTGAAATGACGTCATGATGACGTTATCATGTGTTTTTATACGGATTTTTTGGAATATTGGAGTTTGTCACGGTATCTCAAATACGCAAGTTACTAACTTCCAAAAATTCCTTTTGTAATAGGTTAAGTAGGTCATGGATGTACGCAAAAAAAATTAATTGATACGCGAAGTCATCATGAAGTCATCAAAATAATATTGTTAAAACACATTTAAGGGAATGCTCGATCATATTCAGACCTGGTTGGTAGTTAGATAATGTCAATGTTATTCAATGTATTTGAAATGACGTCACGAGGATGTCATGAGTTTCTTTTTCGAATTTTTAAGTTTTTAAATTTGAAAGGTTTGATTTTGAAACTGTTCATAATTATAATGCAGAAAAGCCGTATGTTCTGTTTCAAATGTTACTTGGATCTCAAGCCTTGCACCAGCCCTATCAACCTCAACATTTCTTCGTTTGAATGTGCCCTGATCAGTGATCACAAAAAATCAATCATATTTGTGTTGATATACAGACCACCACCCTCTAAGGCTAACAACCTGAGACCTGCAACATTTCTGACTGAATTTGATTCATTCATCAGTGAATTATCCACCATGTCGGCCAAACTTGTGGTAACTGGTGATTTTAATGTCCACATTGATAACCTGAACAAACCAGAAACCAACAGATTCATCACATCCATCTCAAGTGTGGGTCTTCGGCAATTTGTGGAATCGCCCACTCATAGACTTGGCCATACACTTGACCTTGTCTTGGCTCGACCTGAAGATGACTTAGTAGTAAACTGTAGGGTGATAGACAATACCATGTCTGATCACTGTGCTGTACATTTTGAACTCAATCGCCCAAAACCCACTCCGTGTAAGACTCGCACTACAACTCGTAACTTTCAATCTGTTGATATGGAAGCTCTAGCAGATGCTTTCAGCGACCAGCTCAAACCCTTGCTGCTCCTCCAAGATGTTGACGACCAGGCCCAGTTCTTCAGTGACACTGTCAGCAAGATTCTTGATGATTTTGCCCCAGTTTGTACTCGCATCCGTGTCAATCGACATAAGATGCCGTGGTACAATGATGCAATTCATCAAGCTAGACGTGTAAGGAGGAGACTGGAGCGCCAATGGCGGAAGACCAAGCTACCTGCTGACCGTGTAGCATTTAACACCCAATTAATTGTTGTCAAAGATCTTATTAATGTTGCCAAACAAGTATTTTCTGTAGTAAGTTATCTCATTGTAATGCCAAGGACATGTACAAGACGGTTCACACTTTGTTAAATACACCCACTAGTACGTTTCTATCCGGTGATAAGTTTATTATGGCTAATAATTTTGCCAAACATTTTGTTAACAAGGTTATTGATATTAGGCATGGTATCCAGAACAGCATGGCCCCGTCCCCACCTGTCCGTGTTATTGTTCCAGAAACAGTTGCCAGTGTTAACACTCTCTCTTTTTTTACTCCTACTCATACAGAGGAGGTCATCCAAATCATAAAAGATTCTCCCAACAAGTCTTGTGCTCTGGATACCTTGCAGACCTGGTTACTTAAGGCCAATGTCAACTGCATTGCTCCAATGCTGGCTAACATCATTAATAATTCGTTGTCCTTGGGCAGATTTCCGAACTGCTTCCGTCAAGCCATTGTTACACCTATCCTCAAAAAACCAACTCTTGACCATAATGATTTGAAAAATTACCGTCCTATTTCCAATACCTCATTCTTGTCTAAATTACTGGAGAAAATTGTTCACAAAAGACTTACTGAACATGTTGCCCATAACAATTTAGAAGTCCCACTCCAATCTGCTTGCAAATGTAATCATAGCACAGAAACAGCCCTTCTCCGTGTACAAAATGACATTCTCCGAGTCACTGACAACAAGAAAGTGGTTTTGCTGGTCATGCTTGACCTGTCATCTGCATTCAACACTTTATATCATGAAATACTCCTTGATAGGTTGTGCAAAGTGTTCGGGGTCCGCGACATGCCCTTATCCTGGTTCACCAGTTACCTTTGTGATCGCAGATACCGCGTCCGGGTTGATGGTACCATGTCTGATGAATCTAGGGTAGCTTTTGGTGTACCCCAAGGGTCTGTATTCGGGCCTGCACTTTTCACATATTACATAAAACCTGTTGCTAATATCATTGAGCACTTCAATTTACAATATCACATTTATGCAGACGACATACAGCTTTACACTTATTTCAACCCAGCTATTCCTGGTGATTCTGCAATTGCTCTTGAAAACCTCTCCAAATGCATTTCCCAAATACATGACTG